ATGTATTTCATTAAGGTGTGAGGTGGTAATCTGTCTTCAATAAAGGTTTCTGATCACAAATTTTGTGTTTGAAAATGTTTAAGATGCATTAATAAAAATCAGACGTTTGGTGGATCCAATCTGTAGTTTTTAGAGGTTGTAGTTTAGTGGATCATTCAGTAATTATGGCTTATTTCATTCAAATAAGATTTGTGTCAATAAATGAAAAGCTTTGTAAACAAGTCCGGGCTACAAGTTTTATCAGAGAGGTCTAATCCATCAAATCTGCCCGCACTGAGTCTGGATTTGAGCTCTTATGTGCAATCTAAAGGAGTTTCTGCAATCTGCTGACTCAGCAGACGCTCATTATTCAGGATTTTAAGATCATCTAAGTCTAACATGTTTTTAAAAAAAGCTGGAAAGGTTTGGACAAATGTGCTTTTAGCTTTGGGGCTGAAGCAACTCAGATGGTCCCGAAAAGGCTCCGGACCCAAACGGATCCTGGCTTTATATCGTTTGTTAAACGTAAAAAATTCAGTCTAACAGATGTTCCAGCCGGCAGATGTTAGGCCGCCATGGCGGCCGGTGACCTTTGACCTTTCGATGCATGTTGGTATACATCATATGTAACACACACACACACACACTCTGAGCCGAATGTGTGTGTGAGCTATGAGGCCGAACGTGATCAAAACTAAACTAATAAAGCTTCAGGAGACTCAGAGGGAGTTTTTAAGTTGTGTTTTTCTCTGAGTTTTTTAGTAGAACGCTCTGCCCTGTTCGCATTTAAATAAATAATTCATGACTGTAATGTTTTTATAGCCCGCAAATAGAAGATGATCAACATCAGCCCTCCGTTTCGTGAGCTTTTAGGACAATGATGCAGTTATTTATGTCCCAGAAGGATCGATAAGTTTTCATCTCTAAAACACAAACGTCTAACTCTGAAGTACAAATAATACACAAAGAGAACAGACTGATGCATTTCAAATCCAATAAAATAAACAAAATGTTGCTTTAAACTTAGTTTTGAATTAATGACAGGCAGTCCAGTGGTTCCCAACCTAAAGGTCAGGACCCCCCAAAGGGCCGCCAAGCCTCAGGAGGCGGACATCAACAAAAATATCCTTTTGACATCATTTTAAAGGTTTTATTTAGAATATTTGGCTCCAAAGAAACTGTCTGAGAAGTTAAAATGTACAAGCAAATCCGGAAAGCCTCCAAACTAAAAAAAGAAAAGAAACTGTCTGAGAAGTTAAGATGTACAAGCAAACCTAGAAAGCCTCCAAACTAAAAAAAAATAAAATAACATTTGGCCACAAAGAAACTGTCTGAGGAGTTAAGATGTAACAAGCAGACCCCGAAAGCCTCAAAAATAAAAAAAAATAAAAAAGGTAAGAAGCAGTTTAGGCATCAAGTCTCAAACTGATTTGCACAAAACAAGCGATTGAAATCAGAAATCAGATCAAAGCTTCACTCCCTCCTTTCAGGAGGAGATAACACCCCCCCCCCCCCCCCCCAAAAAAAAAAAAAAAAAAAAAAAAGGGAGCTCTTCTTTCTCTCGTGTCCTGCTCGGTAACTTTCACGCGCTGGCTGATAAGGGGCCGTAAACTCATCCATCACCCTCCGGCCTGAGGCGCCCTCTGCTGGCCGGACCGTCGCACTGCAGCCGGGGGGGGGGGGGGGGGGGGGGGGGGAATTTCGTTCAGGCCCCAGGCCGTGTTTTCCGGTCCCACCCCCCCCCCCCCCCAAAAAGAAAAAACCCAAGGTGACTTTTAGGTCTGTGTTTCATCGCTTTTACCGGATAAAAGAGTCTGATTTTAACCCCAGAGTTGGAGTCTAAACGCTTGTTTCTAAAAACCCTTTAACAGCTTTTTTTTTTGTGCATATTAGGAATAAAACAACACTCTAAATTAAATGTTTTTCAGCCTTTATGGGTATTTTTAAAGATGGAATAAAAAGCTTTTAGGCGACACGTTTCAGAACAATTCAGTTGAGCGTCCACATCTTATCCAATTTTATTTCTACCCAGCATCATTTTTTAAATATCTTAAACATAAAGGCTGTTTTTTCTTGCCCCTCTCGTGCACGCGCGCGCGCAGCTCGGCCGGCCTCGCGTGCACGGTGACGGTGCAAAGTCTCCCTCCGCGTGCAGTCTATCGTCTCGTGACCCGGCGATGATCCCGGTGCTGCATAATGCATGAGATCCGGGTCCAGATTAGCCCATCAATATGCAATCCTCATTATACGCGGCCTAAATGGCCACTTAATAGTTATGAATCTGTGCAAAAAAATGTCTGGCTCCCATATAACACATCACTGCTTTTAACTTTTTTTTTTTTTTAATCCTTTTTTTTTCTTTATTTCTACCTGAATCGAGTTTGGGAGGACTTTGGTAATAAGCTCCGGTTTCCTGCCCGTAACGTGGTTAGGTTTTATTATTGGCCGGAGGGTGGGGGGGGGTAGGGGGGGGGGGGGGTGGTTGTGTCCAGCTCCAGCGTGTCCGAGGCTTCACCTTTGGCCGGCCGCTGACTCCCCGGATCGGCATAAATCACCGCTGGACTCCGCTCAAGTTCGCCTCCTGGCAGCTCCATAAAGCCCTGATTGGCCTTTAAAGACACCCCCCCCCAACCCCCCCCCCCCCCCCCCTCCCCCCCCCCCCATCTGAAATCAGCTTTTGCCCTTTAAAGCAAAAACTCTCATCTTTTTCTCTCCTTAACAAAAAAAAAACACATCAAACATATAAATAAAACGATCCAAGTTTGCGTAAAAATCATCAGAATTTTGTGTTTTTTTTTGTTTGTTTTTGGTCTAAATTTGCCAAAGATTATTATTTAAATCCTACATTTGAGCCTATAAGCAGCACACTCAGAACTTTGACATTTTCCAGCCATGTTTGCCACAATAATAAACCAAACATTTGACTTTAAATTCAAACTCTAATTTCCCGGGATTGTTGTCTAAATGTTAACAATGACTCTAAGTTATAGTCCAAACTCCGGACTGGACGCTGCTTTTCCTGTCCAGCCTTTCCGGTCCATCCACGCAGTTAAGCCGTCACTTTCATTCAAGGTTGTGAATTATATAGTACATTGTCTACTCCCCAAAACCATAAAACCAACTTTTATGGACCTCACGTGACTTTTCACAGTCTGTAAGTAATATAGGCCTATACAATCTTTGGTAAGAGGCTATTTTTTTACCAACTTCGGCCTGGCCTCTACCTGTAAAAGCCAAAGGCAGATTTTTTTTTTTTTCTGGGGAGGATTCTATCATTTTCTCGCTTGGAAAAATAACGCAGCTCTGGATGGAGTTCAAATAAAGGTGAGTGGGAAAAAGTCTTCTCTTTAACTCCGTCTTACATCCCCAAAAAACACCAAAAAGCGCCAGAAAACGCTCCTTAAAAGTTTCGTAGTCTTACAGGTTAATTATTAGTTCTGGGGGGAAGGAAATGAGCCCGAGGCTGTTGCGCGTCTCCATCTTTACGCGTTCAATTCTTATTTTTGTTTCTTATTCCAACTGATAATTCAGTCGAGACACGTTCAAAGCGATTGAGAGAAACTTTTATTTCCAAGCGCTATGAGTTCACTCACAAATACAAAAAGCTTTTAGGCGAAAAAAAGCTCACATCACTGCCTATCCACAGAATAATAACCCTTTGCACTAAAAATTGATCACATTGACAGGTTGAATACACTTGCATTGCTCATAGTTTCTAAACAATAATAATTATAATAATAATTATAATAACAGATGCACAAAATTTTCCTATAGAGCTACACGTTGGCTTGTTTTCTGAAAGTTTATGGATCTCGGCCACACGTTAACCATCAAAAATAGCAGAAAAAGTTACACTAAAGCGCTTCTGAATGGCCCCGGAATACAATACATTCAATGAAGAGCAGCATACGGTTTGGAAACCTATTTTTTTTTTTGTTTTGTTTTATCTTTTAACTGTACATTGAATTTACTCCTGTTAGACCGTCAAGAAGTTACAATAAAGAGCTCAAGTTGAAACACTTTAAAGAGATAGAGGAGACAGAGAAAGAGCAAAGAGCATGGACAAACACCCCCAAAGATATTTACAGCTTTCCCCCCCCCCAAATAGGACATCTAAGCTATATCATAATACAACAACAGTCAACTAAAAATGGCATTTTAAGACCAGGGAATACTTCTTTTTCTATCACAATGGCATGCTGGAAGGTGCTGCGCTTTCAATAGCTTTACAGTACTCATGGATTCTTTCTTTCTCTTTCTTTTTTCTTCTTTTTTTTTTTAGTTTTATCAATTTTACGCTCGCCTCCGAAAAGTTATTCAGTTGTGGAAGGCGCTGCCTCCCGTCACGAGGCTCATGCTTTTCAGCTTATTGTCCTTCTTCCACTTCATCCTGCGGTTCTGAAACCAGATTTTGATCTGTCTCTCGGAGAGGCACAGCGCGTGCGCTATCTCTATCCTCCGCCGTCTGGTGAGGTACCGGTTGAAGTGAAACTCTTTCTCCAGCTCTAGCGTCTGGTAGCGGGTGTAGGCGGTTCGGGCCCTTTTCCCGTCGGGTCCGGTCATATCTACAATTTTTTTTTTTTTTACAGAAAATCCACAAAATTAGCAAAAAAAAAAAAAAAAAAAAAAAAAAAAAAACGCAACAACCGAAAACAAGGCACGGAATGGGCTGATGCTATATATGTGTGTGTATGTGTGTATATGTGTGTGTATGTGTGCGTGTGTGTGTGTGTGTGTGTGTGTGTGTATTGCATGCAACCGGCACCACACAGCAGCAGGACCCTCACGCGCGCAGATATACCGCCGGTCTCGAGACCCTAAACGACCATTTCTGTGGCCCCCAGAAAAAATTCAAACATCTCACCAGAAAACTCCAACTCCCCCCAGACTCCCCCACCTCTCATCCTCACACCCCCCCGGGCCCCAAAAAGCCAGAACCCCGCCGGGGCTTTTCCAAACCAAAACACCGCAAAAAAAACCCTTTTTTTCCAGTCACCCCCTCGCGCGCCACCTGACTGATCCTATAAGGGCGCGCGGGCTTTGGCACAAAAAAAAAAAAAGAAAGACCCCCCACAAAACACAAATATAGGGTCGCGCGCGGGGGACACGTACCGTGGCTTATGTGCAGCTTCCGCATCCAGGGGAAAATCTGCGGCGTTTGGCAGTCGTTTGGCGTGGGGGTGGAGGACGAGGTCGCGTGGGGTTCCTGCTGCTGCTGCTGCTGAGCGCGTGACGCGGAACCGGAGCCGCGCGCGCCCTCCTCGGTCTCCGTGGCCCCGGCCACCACCGGGTCCTCAATCTCGGTGAAAAGCGCGTTTGCGCTGGCCTTATTGAGCCCGGAGCTCCGGTCGGGGTGTTGGGGGGGGGGCGACGGGCTCTTTAGCTCCAGCGGGTCGCGGCCAACCGACGCGCACGAGGACACCGGCACCGGTGGGGGGGCGGGAAGAGGGTGAGGATGTGGATTTGGATTTGGATGCACCGAGTCCGGGGAGGAGAGCGAGCAGCCGCCGGGGCTCTGCCGGTAGCCACGCGCGTCCTCCCGCGCGGCCCCGAAGTGGCCGGTTCCGGTTCCCCCGGTGTTCCCGGCGCTGGCCCGGTTCACCGTCAGGTCCATGCCATTGTAGTTGTAGCCGAAAGAGCCGGGGTGCATGTTGCCGGGGTCTCTGAAGGAGCCGCTCACGGCGCCGTTAGTCCCATAATTTAGCAGCTGATAGTCGGATCCATTTGGATAGCGCCCCGAGAACGAGTTTACAAAGTACGAGCTCATTTGCGTGGATTTTTAAAGCCTCGATTTGTAGATCTTTGTCGCTATAATCCTGTGTGCTTGCACGATTTATGGTCGCAATCATGAATTATAAGCAATGAAGCCCCTACTGTACTTTGCCAGGTATGCGGCCAAATATGGGAGCGCGCTCGGGAATCACGTGCCTTTGTTGACCAGTCGTAAATCCTCACTGATGACTTGGAGAGGTAATTCATGCTCCATGGTTACAAATGATGACGAAATAATGGTCGTTAGGCTCCAGTCAATGGTGCCTCCCCGCTGCGCGAGTGGCGCGCGCGCGGGCGGAGGGCGCCATCTCGCGGCCGCGCGCGGCATCGCTCCGCCAGGCGCGCGCGGCCCCATCCATCATTTATGTAACGCGCTGATAAAAAAAATAATAAAAAAAAAAGGCCGCAAACGGCTCAGGTGACGCGTAACGGAGGATTATCGCGCGCGCGGCTGTCATGTTGCGCGACAGAGTGTCAAAACTGAAATCTGAAAACTGGTTCACCGTCTAAAAAAGGGTTTGATTTCAATTTATGGGATTCGTGGTGACCGGAAAGGCGGAGCAGACGCTCCAATAACGACGCTGTTAATTATTAAAATTGAGAAAATGATTATAGAAATGATCTTTCCTTTTTTTTTTCCTTTCTTTTTTTTCGTTCTCTTTTTTTTCTGGGGTGAATTAAAACGACAATGCATTCAGACGTACATCAAAAAAGCCTTTATTTATATGTACAATTTTCCTAAACAAAAATATTGCACACAATATACAGATGTGCGTTGAACACGTGAACGACAATAAATAACATGGAACATTTTTCATTTTCTGTACAAATGTGGATGGCACGAGCCTATAAGACTACAGCACAGAGTCACAGGAAAACACACAAAAAGGACAAAAGCGCCCCCGAAAAAAAATAAAAAGTCAGTAGGTTCTAATGAGGTATAACAACGTGGTCAAAAACAGAAGCACTGAGATGGATTTACATTTTTTTGGGGCGAATTGTTGCATAGTCCCCTTTTTAATAAACGCACGAGCACAAGGACGGTTAATGCGGACAGAGTTACCGTGCAGATACTCAAAGAAAAGTCACTCTACTCGTCTCTAACGTGGGTTTGCAGCACTTCATATCTACAAGGAAATTATACATCATTTTATTTTGGGGTTGGGGGCAGTTTGGGGGGGGTGTGCAGGTCAACACACACATGCCTTTTACTCCAGTGTCCCTGTCTAGCTCTTCTTCTCGGCCTGTTCCTCCTCCTCTTCTGGTGTCTTCGAGGGGTTGAGGAGTTTGTTTTCCTTTTTCCACTTCATCCTGCGGTTCTGGAACCAGATTTTGATCTGTCTCTCCGTCAGGCACAGCGCGTGCGAGATCTCTATCCGGCGCCTCCGGGTCAGGTACCGGTTGAAGTGGAACTCCTTCTCCAGCTCCAGGGTCTGGTAGCGGGTGTAGGTCTGCCGGCCCCTGCGGCCGCTGCTGCCGAACGGACCTGCAGCACAACAGAGACCCCCCCCCCCGGGTCAGACCCCCAGACCTCCAGTTCACCCAAAACAAACCCAAACATGCATTTAATATTATATCTCTATCAAATAAAACGAAGCGTCAGGTCTTTATATTTACTACAAAAAGCTCCTTTTTGCGTAAGAAACGACGCAGATGATTAACTTCACGTTATTTTTCTGACATTAGATCAGTTTCCGCTTATAGGCGAAGCTAAAATAAACATTTAATCCGAATATTTAGGGATAATATCGCTGGTTTTGCGCGTCAAAGCGACTTTACAGGCGTTTGGATCTGAACTGAACTGCTGTCATGTGGCCCCCGTGCACGACGTGCGTGTGTGGCGCGTTCGTGCACGGTGGATCCGCGTGGGGGGGGGGGGGGGAGGGGAAACCCATATACCCAGGGTTGGGGGCTCATGGGGGGGGGTGGAGGCCCGATTCTCCGTGCGTGCGTTGCCGGGCACGCGCGTGCGTGTAAGTCACTGTATATGACGATGACAGAGTGTCACGGAGATCCACGCGCACGGAATGGCACGCAGTCCTAGTAATCACAACTTCCGTGGTCTGATTATTAGATGAGCGCTTTGTGTCTGTGGATCTGATTAAATCTGGGGAACTGAGGGGGTGTGGAGGGGGTGTGGGGGGGTTAGCCTGCACGCGACCTGCTCCAGGCTCCCCGCACGCGCGCGTTCGGCGGCGGCTTTGAGCTTTGAACTCACCGGCGGAGCAGGCGTTCATCCTCTGCATCCAGGGGTAGATGAGCGCGGACGCCTTGTCGTCCAGGCTCGCGCCGAGCGGCGGCTCCGCGCGCTCCGCTTTGGCGCGCGCCGCGTGCTCGTGCTGCTGCTGCTGTTGCGCCAAAAACAGCGACTGTTGCGGCTGGTCCTCGCGGCTCGCGAAGGCGCACGAGCCGTCGGCGTCCTTGTAGAAAGTCCCCACCACCGGGGTGCCGGTGCCGGTTCCGCTGTAGTCGCAGGGCGGCGGCGGCGCGCCCCCGGCCGCGCGCCCGTACAGGACCCCCCCCCCCCGCGCCCTGCTGGTAGTAGGACGCCGGGTAGAGCTTCTCCTGCACGCCGCCCGCGGCTCCATACGGGCCCGCGCCGGAGTAGTGCCGCAGCGGGTCCGTGTATCCGGAGGAGTAGAGCGGGATCTGGCCCAGGAGGGAGTCCTGTGCTCCCGGCAGAGACACGGGGAAAGTTGAATTGACGAAATAGGAACTCATTGGGTGGACAACAGGGGTGTGTATACTCCGGAGGAATATGATTTGTTGTCTTTTATAGTCCAAGTGCTTTTGCCATTACTTTATCGGAGGTTTGGTTTTTGCTGAAAGGGGGGAGGGGGGGAGGGAGGGTGGAGGGGGGGGTTGTGAGGTGCCACTGAATACGGGGGGGGTGGGGACCCGGTGACCGGGCGGGGGCCTGTCCCCGGGGTCTGCGCGTGCGTGCGCTGCTGCACCCGGGGGGGGGGCTCTTGTTGCGCGCAGGAGTCCCCGGTGAATCGAAATGAAGCACAAGAAGGGCTCGTGCGGTTTTTTACGCACGCTCACGCGCATCTCCCGGACACGCGACGACTCAGATATATTTGGGGTTTTGTTTTGTTCTGTTTGCATACAAAGAGAAGAGAAAAAAAAGAAAAGAAAATGTGTTGTTTTTTTTGTTGTTGTGTGCAAATAGTGCGTGAGAAATAAAAAAAAACACACAAACTGTCCTTGAAATACGCACAAAAAACTCACACAAAAGCAGAAACAAAAGCAAAGATAAAAAACACTCCACGTTTTCGTCCTGATCCCAGATGAGCCCAATCCTCTCAGGATAACAAACGCACGAGGAAGGCTGACTAATTGAAACGCGCGCGTGCGGAGAGGCTGCGTCAATAACGCCAATATCTGACTCTTTTCCAAAGGTGTAGAAACTCACCCAGAGTCCCGGTCCCGGTCCCCCCCCAGCTCGGACCGGAGGCCACGAGCATCTCACCCACCACCATCACCATCATCATCATCATCATCCTCCTCATCATCATCTTCATCATCATCCAACACGCGCAGATCAAGAGCACAATCATCTCACAAATAAAGAGGTGAGTATAAAGCCAGACAAGTGGGGTCGTTTTCTCTCCTTAGAATGAGTATTTAGTAATAATATCTTTATCAAACTTTACACGTGGGCTTCTTTACATACAAAAAAACACTAAAGATGTTCTATTAATCTGTTGTATTACAGGATTTACGTTAAAAAAATAAAAATAATCAGATTTGTTCAATTAATTGTCACAGTTGACCTAATTTATTCTCTTTGTTAACTTAGTTTTTCGTGAATTTATAATTATCATGAAACTGTATGAGACAGAAATTCATGCACTTCTTAAACAGAAGGTTTTTATTACTGATAAAAATTGGATGATATAAATGTTTAATGCAAAGCTCAGGCAGATGTTTGGGGTCTTTTACGGTTTGTGATATTTCTCGTCCCACTTAGGGAACATCAGCACTGAAGTGACTCGTTTTTAAAAATATGGATGAAACAAACTTTAAATTCAGAATGTGGACAATTGTGAGAGACAATTCGACGTTTTTAAGGCAGATTCTGGCTTTAAAAAAACACAAGATCAAATAATACAGAGAAATTCTCCTCAGAGGAGTCATGAAAAGAAAACGAATAAGCAAAAAAACACTAATGAGTGATTGTGGGATTTAAGATTAATGCAAAATTAAAAATGAGAAGCATTATTAGGAATTTTCACCAAAAATTGTGAGACATTAACCCTTCAAAGCCTGATCCAAGAAAAATAGGATAAGAATATTGGATTAATTTAGTCTGAAGTCTTTCTTTGGCCCCTCCACAACATATAAAGAAAAAAAACAGAAATTATTTTGATCAAGTCAAAAATATATTTTGGTGTAGTCTTCTACTGGCTGTTATCAGGTAAATCTGAATGTGTACAAACAGGGGATTGAGCAAAGCTTTTACCACTGAATGATGCAAAAAGTCTCAGATCCAAAAGACTTCAGAAACCGTATGAATCAAATATAACACATATGGCATTATAGGGTTAAACAAAATTATGGACGAAAATACGCAACGAGGACACTGCGCCACATCAACGTAAAAAAACGGATTCTGTTTGTTCTTTTTAGGGTAAAATACGGAAACGAAACATGTCAAATTAGATTAAAATAGCAGTGGAAAAACGGTGGATGTGAACCTGGTTTAGAGGAGAACGTGGGCAGGCCTCCTGAGCCTCTTCATCACCACCACCACCATCATCATCATCATCATCATCATCATCCTCACAGTCCGGCCTAAAAACCTGGGCCAAAACCTGCCCCTCCACACCTTTTGGGGAAAGATTTTCCACATTCTGGGGCTTTTTGCAGGGTGGGGGGGTGGTTGGAAGATATCAGGGGTTAAACTAAGGGGGGGGGGCAGGGGGCCTAAGAAAAAGGCTTTGCTTTGCTTTGCTTTGCCCTCCTGATCTGATTAATTTGCGTTTCCCAAAAGACGGATGTGCCCCTGTCCGGCCGCGTAAACATCAGCTCCGCGCACGCGGACAGCTCTAGCGGCTGCGCGTGACCGCGGGGGCATCAGAGACACGGGTGCCCTTACCTCTGTTGATAATCCATCACCTCGCGCGCGGGGTCCACTCCGCGGGAACTCCTCGCGCTTCCCGTCACTCCCTTTCGCTCCAGAAAAACCCCCCACTTTTCCTGTTAAGTGACAGCGTGAAAGTAATCCCTTCATCCTGGAGTGCAGCGATCCCTCATTTTCCACGCGCGTGAATCCACTTCACAGGTACCCGGACCCGTCACAACATGGCGCGCGCGCAGAGGCGTCGCGAGGCGTCTCCATCACCTCCCAAAACCCAGACCCGGTTTTCCGGTTTTTCCAAACTAAAAACATCTCTCCCCACGCGTGTCTCCGGTGGAAAGGCCACGGAAAAAGCCTGTTAGGACTGTGGAGGAAAACAGGGAGCCGCAATCTAAACCTCGTGGGAAATAAGTTCCCATTTCTGCTGCCCACATGACCGCGGACAGCCAATCCGCGAGCCCGGCGAGTCGTAAACTTCAGAGGCAAAGTTGTAAATTTTCCTAAACCGCAGAGGGGTTTTTTTTGTGTGCTTTGGATGAGGGTTTGTGTTCGACATCTGTGTTTCCACCAGAGCTGGAGCTGTTTGGGTCTGAAGAGGAGATTCATCCGGTTCTGTTTGGCCAAAGACAGGTTCGTCCATCTTCTATATCTGAGAACTCTGATCAGGTTTGCCTGCAGAACTCCCGGAACCTGCTTTTATTTATTCATCTCTCGTTTCTGCTGTAATAATTTGACTTTAAGGTGTGAAGATAACTGGAGTTTTGTCATTTCTATGAAAATAAGGAGATTTCTTAGACATTACAGATATATTTGGGCTAAACGTATGCGGTTGATTTCCTGTTCCAGGGAGATTTTGAGGTCACAGGAACCCCAGACAGCCTCCTCTCTCTCCGTTCAGGCTGGAATTAATCCTGTAAAAACGCTTTCTTATTTTTCCCCATGTCTTATTTCCATTCGTCTTTAATTAAAATGGAGCTTTTTAGGGGCGCGCTGGTGTTTTCCATCGCCAAAAAGGATTTCCGACATTTATGGACGCAATAAAACCATAAATTCCACGCCACCCCTCCGTGCTCTGTTTTGAATCCTCTCCAGAGACTAAAATCCCAAGCGATGACGCCGTTTTAAAACCTTTTTTTTTTATAAAACCAAAAAAAAAACTAAACTAAAAATAATATTTTTGAAGGATTAACCAAGATTTAAACTTATCCATTTTACAATATCATCCTTTTCTGAGCCACTTTATTTCTGGATTCTGCGTTATTCTAACATGGCTATTTTCCCTCAGCCGGCCCGGGTCAGAGAGGCCTACAAACTTTACGCAAATCGACTTTTTTAATGGTCTGATCCATTCAAAACGCACTCCTGCTTTACTCCACTCTTCGTTAGGACACTAAACTAAATATACAAAATGCCAATGAAAAAAAAAACATGGGTTTCTTTATATTTCAAGTTATTAATGAACCATTCAAGTGTTTGGCCTCATTTGTCCAATGACTGGATTTCTGCACTGGTTTTCCTTTTTTTATTTATTTAAATCTTCCTTTTTACTTCTAAAAATGGAGCAAAAAAAAAAAAGATCTAGACTCACGACTTTTTGGCCTCTGCGCTCAAATTGAAAAGACAGAAACGGTTAACAAAATGTCTTCCAAACCATAAAAAAGATCATTCATCCCTAAAAAACAAAAAAAAGATGGTAAAAAATTGAAAATTATTAAATGTATTTTACATTAATTTGGACAGCAACAGAACCTGTGAAAGATGAAAATTATCCATTTTATTTGGTTAATCATTTAAATGAACCTTGGAAAGAAATTTCCTCGAGCTAAGAAGCAGCATTTTATTTCTCGTTTCCCAACTTAAAAAAAAAAAAAGAGGGAATTCACATTTTAATAGTGATAAAAACAGTCCAGTTTGGTCCAATTTAGCCAATAAATGTTTGTATTAAACACAATAATCAGGGAGTTTATACTTTTTTTTTGCCTCTTCTGTGAGGAGAAAATGCTTCTTTGACCCTCTGACTCTGTTTTCGTTTTGGCACTTTGTGTGAGGTGTGAGAACGTGTCTTAAGAGTCCGGTAGAAAACTAAAAAATAAAGCCGTGCTGGTGTTTGTGCAGAATGAAGCCTGAGTTGTGAGGCGTTCCCTGAATGCACCGTGTGTGTTTCACTGCGTTTCCACAGCTCTATGTACCTCCACCTCTCCCCAGGTGCGGCCGGTCCTAACCTCAGTGGCCCTGGCCGTGCGGGGGGGCTTTTCGGGGGGAGCTGCGGACCACGTGAGAGAAGCCAGGCCTCCGGACCAGGGGGGCGCGGGTGGAGACGACCCGCAGGCTCTGCAGGTCCGTGGGGGGGCGGGGCGGGGGGGCCGGGGCCTTATGGGGGGGGCCCGGGTTTATGGCGGGGATGCTGGGACGCGGCCTGGTCCCCGTGTAGGAGCCCGTCCGGATGTCCACGTGGGAGCCAGAGTCTGGAGAGAGAAGAGGAAACCTGAGAGGAAGCCATGGAAAAGAGAGAAAAAAAACCAAAAAAGTTCCTCTGTGTTTTTTTTTCTGGAACAATAAAGCCTGTAATCCTGTTTTCAAATGCCCATGGAAACAGTAAATTTGGATTCTACTCAAGTCAAATGTTATTTTTCAGCTTTAATTCTGTGCCGGCCTTAGGAAAGAAAACAAGCAGGAACTGATTGTGCTGCTGGTGCTTATTGAGGCCAGAGGTGGGAAAAGCCGGTGGGAAAAGAGAGAAAAACATGAAAAAAGCTCCTCTGTGTTTTTTTTTTCTGGAACAATAAAGTCTGAGATCCTATTTTCAGGTCTCCACGGAAATAGCATCCAGCAATTCAAAAAAACAATATAAGAAAAGTATTTTTGATGAATACAAAAAAGAATAATACACAAAAAGTTATACTGTTTGTCTTACTGTAATCGTCCTTTACCACCACGACTCATGTAACTGAGGGGCTTAATAAGCTTACGCTTCATCCTGCTCCTTTTTGAAACATGATGCATGTTTAGGAAGCATTTTATGTAAACATTGTAAAATCATGTCATGTTTCAAAATAAACTAAATTAAATTAAACGAAACTGTAAATTTGGATTCTACTCAAGTCAAATGTTATTTTTTCTGATTTAATTCTGTTCTGGGCTATTTTTTTCCTTCTCTTTTGACTATATTGGTGCACATAGGAAAGAAAAGAAGCAGGAACTGAGTGTGCTTTTGGTGCTTATTGAGGCCAGAAGTGGGAAAAGCCGGTGAGAAAAGAGAGAAAAACACCAAAAAAGTTCCTCTGTTTTTTTTCTGGAACAATAAAGCCTGTGATCCTGTTTTCAAATGTCCACGGAAAACAGTAAATTTGGATTCTACTCAAGTCAAATGTTATTTTTCAGCTTTAATTCTGTTCTGGGCTATTTTTTATTCTCTTTTGACAATATTTCTGCACACAGGAGAGAAAACGAGCAGGAACTGAGTGTGCTTTTGGTGCTTTTGGTGCTTATTGAGGCCAGAGGTGTTCCTGAGTGGGGCGGATGTTTACCGGGCCAGAGCAGCCGGTGGGCGCTCATCATGCTGCAGAGCTCTGCTGCCCTGCTCAGGCTTTCGGGCTCCGACAGCCGGCAGGAGGACTCGTTCAGGCCCCTCTGCTGGACGCCGGGCCTCAGCAGACGCTGCTGAGTCATGAAGGAGTGGAGCTGCTGCAAGGAGACCAGAGGAAGGGTTTTAATGGTGCCATAACGGTTCTTCAGGACTGTTAACGGTCACAGAACGGCCCGAATGTGAGGAGAAGATGATGAGAAATTTAGGAAATGGGGTGATAATTTATTTCAATTTTACTGTGATAATTATCTACATAAAGGTTTAACAATAATTGAATTCTCACATTAAACTATTTGAATTTCATGGGCAATGTCTTTGTTTTTTTCCTTTAAAAAAACAAAAACATTTTTACAACTAAAACTGTAAAATTCTGGATTTGAAAATCTGATTTAAAAAGGAAAAACACTTTTATCAAATCATTTAAGTTTTAACTGCAAAGATAAAAATCACATTTTTATTTAAAAAACGTTGAGAAGGTCACAAAAAAACTGAAATTATGAATGATAATATATTTCCATTTATTAATTAATTAATTCTGTATATTTTAAATTGTTTTAAATTATCAAAATAATAATACATTTTGGTTGTATGTATTTCAAATGTTATTCAAATTGTAGAAACATTTATTGATAATTACAATAAATAATAAAAATGAATATATTAAGGTAGCAGACAACAAGCTGAATATTTTTCTGATTCTTTTTAAAAGGGGCAGATGTTAAAAGCACCATTTCAACCATGTATTTTTCTGCATTTCTGTATTTTTTTACCTGCTGAGAGAGCTGGGGGCAGAGATTCTGCTTGGTCCTCTGGGAGAACAGGGCCAAAGCCTCCAGCTGACATAATGAGCACATGTAAAAGGGCGATGAGTTGAGGTGGTTGTTAGTTTGAATCTGATGGGGCAGACGGGTCTTACCCTCTGCTCGTGCCTGTGCTGAACCTGCCGGTGGCTGCAGGTTTCCGTGGCGCCCGGCGGGGCTCCGCCCCCCTCCGCCCGGCGCTGCAGCAGCTGGTGGATCTGGTCGACCACCCCCAGGTCCTCCAGCAGCTTCTTTCTCTCCAGCAGAGACTCCACCCGCTCCCGGTCCTGCTTCTCGGCCTCCTCCGCCTCCTCCCTCTCCTTCTGGTCCTCCTCGGGAACTTCCGCAGCTTCTGGAAACACGCCGGAGAGAGGCGACTGCGGGAAAACGGGAAAAAACTCATTCCTTTTATTTATTTCTGTTGTGTTTGTAGCATTTATGACACACAGAGTAACTGTCACTCTGTTTATTTTTCCTCCTATTGACAGTTTAAGGTGCTCTAAAATGGGTCGAGCACAATCCAATGAGAATAATCCACAGGAGAATTAAGCCATGTAATTCAGATTTGGTGTGTGAGCTCTGACTCAGAGGGGTCAGCCAGAAGATGAACCATCCATCTCCAGGATGAGGCTGTGTGACTCCCCCCTGTGGCCCCCTGAGGTCACTGCACCTGAACGGCGGCCGGATGAGAGTAGCCGGGCTGCTGTGTGGACCCTCGCTGGGGTTTGACTCTCTCCCCCGCCGTCTCCCCCTGCAGGTCCCTCCTCCGGCCCCCCTTCTGGTCCCGCTCCTGCTTCAGACGCAGCTCCTGCAGCTGCTGCCTGAAAACACCAACAAACTTCAGCACCTCTCCATGAAATCTGGGCATCTACAACTAAATAAACCCCTTTAATAAATCTTATTGGAAAAATACAACAAAACTAAGGGAACCTCTGGATAAAAATATCCTGTTAACAATCATAATCAATTTGCAGAGGTTGTAAAATGTTCCAAACAGCATGATTTATCGCTCCAAATTAAAGAAAATCTGCTTTTTGAGGGATTCTAAAAGCAAAAATGCCAGGAAAATAATATTTTTCTTGATGGCTCTGATAACATATTACAAAAAGTTCTTCATTAGACTCTATTTAATCAAACTGTAGTCTAACTGTTCAGTTTTCTCAAAATGAAGTTGTGCGATGGCATTTCACAGCGGGCCTCTAATCTAATAACATGGGAACTACAGGCTCATGCAGCTGGGTGTCATTTGTCAGGGGGAATTATTTCCATGACTGCGTTTAATTTGGTGATGATATTACACACCACTGAATTATGTTTTACCATTTAATTAAATCATGGAACTCATTCAGTGATCACGTTCATCAACATCTGCTTTTTTATGAAATCAAAGCACCGTCTGCAAGCCAAGTTCAGCCCCTGTGAGCAGAAGGAGGCCGTTTCAGCTTTTTAAAAGCATTTTAAAAATACAAAATAAAATTAAAAATGAAAAAATGATCAGGTCAAAGTGAGAAAAAAGGTCTACATCAATTGATATTGAAGTGTTGCTTATAAATAATTATATTAAAGTGATAATTAATTATGGCTGTGGGTGCAATTACTAGTTTTAAAATTGAAAATGTCAGATTTTAATCAAGCTCACATTAAAAAAGTTAATTAAAAAGAAACATTTCTGTTATTAGATTTTTCTCTCTTGGTTATTCAGCTCCATTTCCAGAGAGTGGCTTTTAAGTGAATATAATTGTTTAAATAAAAATAGGGTAAATGTTTTTGGATAATCAGCCGTCATACCTAAATCAAATTATTGATTCCAAATGTAACGTTTTATATTATCTAATAAGAAAGGTTATCGGTTGTCATTTATATCCAACAGAAGTTGGACCGATAACGACTTTAAATTGGAATGATGAGGTGTCCAAACATGGCCTATCTTTTTTTGAAAATGTTTACTAAATATAATTAATTATCATACATGTATTGGTTTGACTTTGTATTTTTCTGTAAAAATACAAAGTCAAGAATTTCCAAAAGAACTTGTGAATTCACAAGAAATTGGATTCATCCTCAAGAGGATAGAAACTAACTGAGTAGGAAATAAGATATCCCAGAGAGGCCGAGTCTGTCAGACAGGAAACAGTTCGTCAGTCTGAGAGACGAAGTGGACAAACACATAGAGAGTTTAGGAATCTTTTTCTGGAAGTCCTCCTCCAGAGCACAGAGGACAGAGATGGAATAGAACTGGAAACAAACACTAAATGCTGGAGATCTTCAGGCCTTTGGGCAGCACTGTGGTATCAGAGACGTATAAAAACTAACAGAAGTGGGCACAGCTCACCACTACTTCCACGTGTGGGCTTTAAATCTCCTAAAGAGACCCAAAAGAGTCTTTTTTTAGGACCTGAGCCGACTGACCTGAAATCTGAGCTGCAGAGTGGGACATCCAGCCCGCATTAATGCCCATGGCGGGGATAACTTCTACATCTATTAAGGAACCCATAATGTTGAACGATAGCAACATTTGCTGTCATTCGGGCATCTTTTCAGAGAGGTTCGGTCTTATTTCTTTCAGTTACATTCACAGCATAAATAAGTGAGTTATTGCACCAGAAATGGAATCATTCATCTATGTCTAAAACCACAAATTTGTGGACTGAGGCAATTTTCTGCCGCTTAGTTTCTCTTTGGTAGAGAAGCTGAGGTTACCCCACAGATGTTGCCTCTAAGCTACCAGACCAGCGATGTTGACACTTGAGGTTGCGTTTATAAAATCAAGATTTGATGCCCAAATTTTGAAATATATTCATTTCGATTTCCGGTTTTAGTCTTTTTGTGACACCATGTAGAGTGTTGATTTTATGTATATACATGCATATTCTTATCCTGTGCGGGCAGTGCTTTTATTAACTTTTATTTATTTTGTCTTTTTGTGCAGCACTTTGGAAACCTTGTGTTTGTCGAAATCGTGCTATATAAATGAAGTGGATTGGATTGGATTGGATTGTTTGAGAAGATCTTCTCACAAACTGAGAAGATTAGAAGTCCTGATTTTCCTGGACAGATTTCCCCAGGGTACAAACTCGTGCTATTGGAGGACAATAACGACCTCACTGAGTTGACCACCAGCCTCTGCTGTTCACAGCCTGCTGCAGCTACCTGGCACACTCCTCTCTGGCCTTGGACGCGGCGGTCTCCTGGAACAGGGAGCTGCTGTGTTTGAAGTATTTGTCGTACTTCTCCCCTCCCTCTCTGGGGTAGATCCTCTTGAAGCCTCCCAGGTGTTTGGCCTCGTACTTCTCCATCTGCTCCATGGTGGCCGCCTGGCACTGACGCAGCTCCTCCGACCTGACGGCGAAACACAACCACGGCTGAACGGTCACCAACGGCCGGAGCAAAGCCCCCCGTGTGTGAGGGACCTTGGAGGACAGGCTTCACAGATCATTAGCTACCGGGCCTCCCTGGAGCGGTTCTGCTGCAGCCTGTCCTTCACCCTGCGCCGCTCCTCTTTGGTGATCTTGCGGCGATCACAGGCGCTCAGGTTAATGAGAACCAGGGTGTCGTACAGCAGGGCGTCCTTCACTTCGCGGTCCAGCTGTGAGTCCGTGGTGAAGCTGGGGGAGTGATTCACCTGGGCACAAAACACAAACACACTGACTGTTTCACACAGATATACATGCTACTTTAAGACCATTTTAGCCTGGTTGTAAATTGCAGCGAAATACGGCTCAAACCGGACTTTAAATTGTTAGAAAAATTAAGAAAAAAGTGATTTTTGCCATGAACTTTAGAAAGATTTTCTGAATGGAAACTAAAAGAGCAGCAACATGGTGGTGTGGTGGTTAGCACCGTCACCTCACAGCAAGAGGGTTCTGGGTTGGAGTCCCCGGGGGAACCAGGACCTTTCTGGGTGGAGTCTGCATGTTCTCCTGTGTCTGTGGGTTCTCTCCGGGTTCTCCGGCTTCCTCCCACCGACCAAAAACCTGCATGTTAGGTTGGTTGGACTCCAAACTGCCCTTAGTGTGAGTGTGTGTGGTTGTTGGTCCTTGTGTGTCTCTGTGTGTCCCTGTGATGGACTGGGGAGCGTCCAGGGTGACCCCGCCTCTCCCCATTGACCACTGGGACAATAATGGATGGATGGATGGATGGATGGAAACTAAAGGGTGTGTGGCTGTGTTTAAAAATGGTGAACACATGGATTACTTACCAGTTGATTAGTGATTGAACTTTTTAAAAATTGGAAGTTTGTGAAACCCAAACCATGATGTGAGTTTAACTACTTGAATCCCTGAATTTGGATGAATAAACTCGGTGTTAAAGCACGACATGGAACTAATCTCCCACCTCGAGCACCCAGGGCCTGAGTCTGTGATCCAGCAGCACGTCGAAGCCCAGGATTTCGAAGCAGGCGCTGCCGGTGGTGTGGTTCGGGAAGCACGTGTGGTAATTATGCTTGAGAACCGGGTGGGCAGATATCAGAGTCTTGATGATGATGTCCTCGATGTCGTTCCACAGCTTGTCTGTGTTACAGCTGGAGGCCTCCAGGTGTTTGGTGAGACTGGACAACTTCCTTCACGACAGAAATCACAACAATACTGCGACATAAACACAAAAACAAGTACAATAAAATATCGTGTTCAGTTTTTAGTTACCGCTTACTGCCAACGTCCTCATCGCGCACAAAGTTGTCACTGTTCTTGTTGATGGAGTAGTTGGTAAGATGCATGCACACGTCTTCCTAACATTTAAGGGAACAGTTCATTTTTAATTGTAAAAACAGAAATCATGTATCAGATGAAAATTAAACAAAAACTGCTGAAATAAAGGTGACGTGGATCATTTGTGTTCTGTTTTGAGTGGTTTGGAATTTTCTAATATCTTATGTGTTAATTTTAAAAAAGAGATGGAGTAAAATCAGGAAAAAAAGTATTTAAGGAAATTAAGAATAATAGAAATATAATAATACATATAATATAATAATACAAATACGCAGATAAAAATCTCAGATTCAATGAATTAAGGTCAGATATTTAAATAAAGAGAATCATAAGTGTTGTCCGCCATCTATTCATAAACTTTGTCACTGATTGTTCCAAAAAGGAAGACCTCCCATCTAACAGAGAAACAATGCGACATCTTCTCAATTAAAAAAAGGCCATACAGGTTAAACTGAGATTATTTTGTCGTACAAGGAGAAAATATATGTTCCAGATAAATATATTTCCCTTTGTTAGGTCGGCTTGTTCTTTACCACGTTGTTGTGTGTGGGCTCGTTGTATTTTGTGGTGCAGAAGCGAACCAGCCCCTCCTTGAACATAAATATGCTGAATGGGTCACATGACGTCACTAGCACGTAAATCCGCAAATCAAACTTGTATCCGTCAATTATGAGAGGCTATAAAAAGGAAAGAAAGCGCACGCTTAAGTTTACTTTAACTGATTCTTTGCAGCTGTTGTGCTTTTTAACAGAGCCTCACCCTGGAGATGTAGACCTGGCAGATCATGTGTTCCCCAGAAAGGATGTCTTTACTGGATTTGGTGATGAAGATACCTTTGCCTTGGCAGCCTGTATCTGGCTTACAGATGTAGGTTTTGCTTTTTTTGGCCCTGGTGTAGGCTTGGAAGTCACTATAACTGCAAAGCACAGTCAGATAAGTAGTGAGAATACTGAGCTAATCAGACAAAGACGTGAAACATAAAAAAAGTGTGTTTCAAACTGACTCTGCAGGTAGGCACCAAGTTCTGGGGAAGATATTGTACTCTTTTGGAAAAAGCTTCAGCATGCGGTTCAAGTTTCTCGCCAGTAAGTCTTTGCGGCAGATCTCACTCATCCCTGGGAAATGGTTTATTTTCTGCGGAGAGAAGCATGTTGACACACCATGAGAGGACCTTCATGAGCAAACGCCGCATAGTTTACGTGTGAAATTGTGTCCAGATTGCATCCATCTTCAAAGAGGAGAATTAGGCGCATTGGTTACAAGCTGCTGAACAGTAACTGCACTGAATTACCCCATCACATCAAATTACTAATTAAATGCCTGAGCTGAGGGAAATGTTACGAGGTATGGCTGCTGTGCCCTGAAAAAGTAACTATTAAAAAGGAAAGACCTCCTCCCCAGTTAATTTTCTGCTGCACAAATACAATTACCCGGTTAATTTGTAGAACTGTGGATGTGACTTCTGTGTCAGTGGTGATGGCAGTAATGTGCCAGCTATTGTGGACAAACGGGCTCAAATACCTGGTAGCGCTTCATGTCTTTAACACGGTCCAGAGACACAGAGCAGTCGGTCCAGAACAGCGTCCAGTCTTCATCCTCCATCGCCTCCCTGAGGCCGTATCTGCGAGCTACTCGCCGCACTGAAGCAAATTACTCATTAAATATCTTGTGGACATTCCAAATGTTTTTCGGACGCAATCTGCCGAAGCAGCTTTCAGTTTCTATCGCTCTGCAGTGCATATTTTCATTAAGAAATGAAAGACTCTGTAAAAATTAGGTTTTTTATTTGAGATTTACCTAAACAGTAGCAACATTTTAATGTGTACAATATAATTTGTTTAATGCAAATTGGGATAAGAGTATGTCTTTTCTATGTTTTGAGTTGAAATAGTTTATAGTATTGAATAGGCTTGAATTGGAACTACCTGTAGGCTACAGGTTCACACATTTTTCCCTTGGAGCCAATTTTTGTATTTATATTTCTTTTGTATTTATACAAATAACATACAATAACATATAACATACACATATAACAATTCATAGAAACACACCTGAATACTGGATTTTTTAAATCAGACTTACCACTTTCGTATTTGCAGCTGGTGAGGTTGATCCCCAGTCATCTGAAAGACAAGAGACACAGGCAGAAGGACAGAAATCTGCTGCGTGGTCCTACAGGGATCAGCTAAAGGTTTCCAGGTGGAGAATCAGGAGTGCTCTGAGGTCCCCGTCCCTTAATGGTGCCTAACTGTGGGAGTGAAAGCGGAGAGGGTCAGCTGTGAAATACCTCCTCCTGCTTTTCCTCCTCTTCCTGATGATGGGCAGTGGCTGGCTGTGGGCACAGGCCTCGTTTTGGCTCTCGGCTCCCATTTCCTCCCCCGGTTGCTCGTACGTTTGCACGTCATTGTTTCTGTCCTGGCCGTCCACCTTTAGACCCATCCTGAGTGAGCACAAACAAATGCAAGTGCCATGCTTTTTGATTTGTAAGCAGCTACCAAATGATGCCGTCTCATTCTCCAGCGACCTCTTAGTTACATGGTCCTTCTTTAATGCACCGTGTGTTGATCAGCCCGGCTCTGAAACTCAATCAAACAGAACAGAGACACGCTGTAGGAGCGCGGTGGGAATCATGTTTCCGTTTCCATTCCTCTCATCAGGTGAGTGCTCTGGCTGTCAGCACACTGGCATTCAAGAGGTACTGTGGCAGGACGGACACAAAGAGGGCTAATAATACAACTCCAGCTGAGGAGTCGCCCAAGGCAGCCAGCAACATCCTCTCACTGTCAAACCCTTTACATTTGTCTTATTGTTCCTCATAAAGTCAGCTCTATAAAAACAGCCTCCAGTTTGAGGGGCTGGAGTTCGTTTTTACATGATTGACTGTGATTAACTGTGTTCAGAAATACTTCAAGGGCTCATTTGATCTGAGTGAATTTGTTTCAAACAGCTTGATCGAGAAGTCTCTAACACTGTTTGCTCCTTTCTTTCTCAACTGTTTGTTGTGTATTTGTGGGCCTGTGTGTTACGCTCAGCTCTGCGACTTGTGTTTCTTTTAAAAAAAAAAAAAAACAAGAAATACAGGTTAAGTCTCCCGGAAGTGAGGATTTACCAACGTTTCTCTTAAGACGTTTTAACTTCCAAACTAAGCTTTTCCTCTCAAGCTGGTAAAAAAAAATGTTGAGATGGGCTTTTGGATATTTTATCAACCCCCTGGGATTAGAGCTAAGGAAAATACAGCCACAAAGTCATGATGGGGTTCATAAGTTTAAACATGTCATTTTCATCAACTACAGACTGCTTATTTGAGTTTGAATGGTGATGTTTTTTGGAAAGCAGCTGTCATTCAGAGCTCAGGAACACTATTGTGAATCCTGTTGAGTTTGAATTGAGTAATTACTTAATTTTACAATATAAAAAGATCCTGAATATTTGGGAACACCTGTTGCCTTGTTGACAGTTTTTGTAGGCCATAGTTAATAATCACGACACTAACATGGTGGAGGTGACATTGCCTCTCTTCAATAAAAACTCACTGAACTCACCCAATCACTGAAGCCCAAAAATATCAAAAGTGAGCACAGAGAACATCAAGTAAGGCAATAAATGAGATCAAGATTACTCAAAGATAGAAAAACAGCTAAATACTTGAAATTTTTTGGGCCATATCAACTCCAACTATCTTTAAAAATCTAGTTTAACTAAGGCTGGTTGGAGAGTTGAAGGTACAATATTGGATCACAATTTCCTAATATGAAACTTGACCCAAACTGGTGGAGAAAGTTAATCTAAATGTACAGGTTCCTCTGGGATTATTAAAGTATTTCTGATTCTGATTCTGATTCTGAGGTGCTTCTCTGCCTCTCTAAGCCTCTGACCTGAGCGGGGGGGGCAGCATCGTCTCGGCCCTTCGCCTCCGCGTCCTATCTGGTGTCTTAAAGGGTGAACGTGGGGCCAAGTTCATACCTGGCAATGATTGCGAGACAATACAGGGGGTGCCGGAGAAACTAAGGAGGGACATCCCAGGTACACAGCTGGAGGTTATGGTGCCGGGTGACGGTATTCTGATCCAGTGAGCTGGATAATCCTGGCCCTGAGCTGTGAGCTTTACACAGGGCTGAGACGCCCCACTGACCCCAGGCTGTATACAGTTACGGCCCCACAAACTATTTCTCCATGACACTAAGTGTGGAACAAGTACACGTACATAATTTACACCTTTTGCACTTACTGTCCTCACCTTATGAGTCCCTGCACACATCACTGTAGATACTAAACATTTAGACCCCCGTGCTGCACGCCCCGCTGCTTCTTAACGGCCCCAGCTATGCCTTTAGATCACATACACTTGGAAATACTGCAATTTGAAATAAAGATAAGTATTTATTATTGCTTTCCTATGGTTTCTTTCTTCAAATGAACAATATCAATAATCAAACTGTTTGACTTGTCCAGGAAATGCAACAATATTAAATTTGAAATGACAAGAAAAATATAATAAAGTCAATCTATGCACATGTCACCAGTATCAGCAGCTGTTTACGCTGTATTTATTTGTAAGTATTATCCGTTAAATATGAACAAACCAACTAATTAAGTAAAATGTTAGCTGGTCAGAGAGATGCAAAATACTTCAAATTGTAGATAAAATTTATGCAATGAAATGAATATGACTATATTTTAGGTGGCACTATGCAGTGAACTTGAATCAAATCCAGGATTTATTGAAGTCTCATTAATATATTTGGGATGGAAAATTATTGTAAGGTTTCTGAGTGGAAAAACAACAACAGTAACACAAGAAAAATCATGTCAAACGTGATCTCTCCAAAACAACCAAAAACAGAAACGGAACGGTTACTCAACGTCAGCTTTCTCTGTATTGAGCTCCTGGTTGAATACCTGTCTACTCAGCTCACCTGGGCAGCTACATCTGTGAGGGCGGCGGTGCTGGAAGATGCTGCGCCGTCGATCAGCCTCTTTCAAACGGGAATATTTCTTTCAAGAATCTCTACAGAAGCCATCTCGCTCCTCCGCTGACAAAGCACTGGGCCGCATCTCACCTCGGGGCGCCGTCTTCTTCTTGGTTCTTAAAAACAAGAGAGCAGATTTGTGTCCTTCCGGGGTGGCTTGGTTCAGATTGACTTACATTGTCAGGGTCTGATGACAAATTAGCAAAACCTGATACATGACGGAGAGAAAATGAGGGGCAGACCTCGGCGGGGAGTAAGCAGAGAGGGATAATCCCTGATATTTGTTGGCGGGAATAGGAGAAGTACTTTTCTGAGCTTCAGGTTGTTCACTTTAAATCTCTGTTGAAAAGCAGCACTGAGTGGAGAGAGCGAAGAGGCTGGACATCTATCGCCTTGACCAGGCTGAGATCTGAGATGAAGATCCCTCAGCTGAAGCTTGACCTGCCATTTAAGACATTAAAAATGGAGGGCATGCAGGAAGGGGTAATGTTGGTCAAACAGAAGACAAAGCAGAGGACAAAACAGGGAAATGCATCTCTGCTTCCCCCCTCGCTAAAGCAGCCGATCAGGTGTCAATCAAGACAAAACAGGCCGAATGACTCTGAGGTGACAGAAAAGGACAAATCTCGTTAGGTGATCTGACTCTTTGATTAATCAATCAATCAACATAAATTAACCATAAGCCGACACCTTACACCTTTCCTCATTCATCTATCTAAGTCCTGCCTTTGTTGTGATGCTGTAAAGATCAGCAGCTAAGCCCTCAGCGTGGATGTGGGCTAAAAAACTGAAGCTTAAACATTGTGTGTGTTTGAGGATCTTTGGTTGGATGCATGTCTGTGTGTGTGTGAGCAATTATGGCATATTTATTGATTTATACTCAGGAAATTCAGAGGCTCACAAATGCTTCTGTTGGTTTAATTAGGAGGTTGTGGGAATAACGGAGGCGGAAAAGACCTGTCCTGATGTTTTCAAAAAATCTTTTTCTGATAATCAAACAAATAGTGTTCTATAAAAAATAAGTTTTGGTTGTAATCTTCCTGAGGTTATTAAGCCCCTCCTCTCCTTTAAAAGTGCAAAACTCACCATTTCAAGCGACAAAACTGATAAATATTCTTTGCTCTATATATTCTTTGGTCATTTAGAAGTTTTTCAGTAATCTCTGTACTTCTTTTGTGTCTATTTACATTCATTTTTGTTTGTATCTATTTTTGGTACATTTTAATGTTTTGTATTGAATATTTTTTCTGTTTTTTGGACATTAACACGTCTTATTACCAAAGTTACTGTCATTTTGTATTCATTTTTACTGGTTAGTTGGACTCTTTGGAGTCATTTCTGTAATTATTATAAAACATAAAGGTTTTAAGGAATATCTCTCTTTATCGGTGTATTAGTCATTTTTAAAATCAAAATTACATGTAAATTTGATCAATTTTTAAATAATAAACTGCTCTTTCGTGATAATAAAAAAGTAAATGTGTAAAGTGAGTGTTTTGATTTTCTGTTTCATGTTATAGTGTTTATCATAGTTTTTTTTTCTCATTGTCTGTGGTTGTTTTGTACAATATACTTTGGTAGTTATTTGATGTTCTTTTCACATGTTTTACTTTCTATGATATATATTTGGAGACGGCGTGAATGACTCCAATTGTTTACCACATACATTTAATGCTGTGCTTTATGGGAGATATTCCTAACATTAACAAAGACAAGGAAACAAAATAGTTCTCACCTCCCTGCTGTGCTGCAAAGAAACAACTCTGAGATCGTTTAGACTTTAACTCTCCACAGTAATGTCCTCACCTCTTACATCAAACCTGATTTTAATGGTTTCTTTTCCGTTAGATTTTTAACAGCGGCCTATAAACATGTCAAGTGTTACTTATTTACATCCCAGGTTTTAACAACTATTCCTCACAAACATCTCATTCTTGATTACAACCAAGATGTTTGTCACATTTGTGAATGACCTTTAGTAACTATGGTGCAGCCAAAATACCAGGTGCAAACTGGGTGGTGAGGATGGAAAATTGGGCATCAATATTCAGAATTAGATAATATAATTTACATCTATATATCTTTAATTGCCAGCTGTGTCTGACACAACTAACCGAGATTCTTTGGTGATACAAAACCGGAAGATTACAACGTCACTCTAAATCTTATCAACAAGGCTGTGCATTTCAATTACAGTGACTGTAAGGTAGTTTTTATAAGTAAAAACTAAGAATAAACACACAATTTAAGCGTTTAAAATGCGGAAAACGACCTACGGGAAAACAAACCGCTCGCTCTATAGGTGCTGTGCTGTTACTATGGTAACAGAACGCCGACTTTTACGCTAACGACCGTTAGCAACTGACCGTCAACGCAAACTTTAACCGGTACAAAGGGGTTAGAAAAGTGGGTTTGTGGACTTTACCGTTAGGAAACAGTTTCCTCTGGGTGCTGCTGTTTAACGCGGACCAAAATGTTGATCTTTTCTGGCCCTGTTTGCGAGGGTGTCGTCTCTCCTTTGGTATTGGCCGGACGGGCGGCGGAGGAGCTACAACCCAAAAACGTAAACATGAATGAACTCTTCAGGAGTCACACACACACACACACACACAAATACACATACACGCACACACACATACACGCACACAAGCGTGCACACACGCGTGCGTGTGCGAGCATCCCCTACCGTGTCCGATTTTGTAACCAATCACAATCCGAAGATGTCAGGGTTCTCAATTCTGATTGGTTATCGGCTCACTGATGATTCATGAGATGCTGTGTATCAAGTAATCTGATCGAATACAAAAATATTATTTATCAAACTCTTTTTTTATCAGTGTTGATTACTATAACATTTAACTGACTTTTATTTTTTAATAACTACAAGTATTCTGTCTAAAATGACACCAAACACCCCCATTGGACAAGAAAATATCAGCATATAAGACAGACAGGACTACAGGAAGATTTATATTTGAATGCTTAGCTTAAAATTAGTGAATAAAATGCCAATTCTACTAACCATTTATCATTCGAACATTGCAAGACAACTAGAGTAAACGTATTATATTTAACAAAGACCTAAACACACTAAAAATCGAAAGTACATATGGAGTTGCTCATTATTTTGTCAAATAATTACTTTATAAATGTTTTCTTTACTATTGACTTGTTCGTTTTCACTAGTTATTTACTCTCAAAAGGAAGAAACAATTATGAGATGGGTTGACTTGAGTTCTCTTTTCATTTTTCTCAATTCCCAACAGAATATCGGTGTTGAATAAACCAATTTACACATTTAGTAAGAAGTATGCAATAGTATAATTTGTATAATTTGCATAAATGAGTGAATCCTACTATTCAGACAGGACAAAGAGTTTGTCTCCCTCTTGTGTTTTTAAAGAAAACTGCAAGAAAGAAGGAAGCAATCAGAACTTAACTACATTTCCCATATTCCAACTTGAGCAGCAGATGCATTCGGGAAATCAAGGATAAAACATCATTATCCTAAACATGAGTGTGCACAAATGCAAATTAAAATAGAAGTATCCTGAACAAAGCTAGAAAATTAACTTTACGTGGTTGAAAATCAAATTACAACGTGCCTAAGTGAAATAATAGCTTCCTCATCGACAACAAAACTATAAACTTTTTTTTAAGATAGTGTTCCATAATATGAATTTGATAATCCGAAAACTGGTTGCTGATAAAATATTTATTTTCTTCTCGTGAATATTTCAGCAACTTTGCAAAAAAAGTGCTTTTTGAATAAAAGTGTATCGTTTACTTTTAGTAAAACGAAACTTAAAGACCCGATGTGTCATCAGTTTTACGTTCTTACGTTACAAATATCCGAGCAGCTCCTGAACGCAGCACTCTGGCTTCGAAGCGGAGACAGGAGAAGCTCGGTGTTGCGACAGCTGAAAACAAACGTAAGTTTTTGTATTTTTTTCCATGTTTCGACGTTATTTGGGGGGGTTTGGGAGTGAACTATAGCTTAATAGGCTTTCTTGTATTAATACAAGGTAGATGTCACGTTTCTGTATTAGTCTTTAGTACTTTTTTAATACTGTTTTACTTTCGATATTTGATTTTTTTTTTTTTAAACATTGTTACGTACATAAACACACAAATGCGATATTGGATGTCATGTACAGAGGGAAAAGGATTTAAAAAAAAAGGATACATGACTTTTCTTCAGCCGATTTGTCCGTTTCTGAGAAATAAGAAAAGTGAAACCAGATTTTGCGCATAAACAATCGCTAACAGGAAGAATAGGCCTGAAGAAGAAAACTCACCGGTGCGGTTTCCTGACGCATGTTTGCGGCACCTGCTGCGGGCAGTCAGGTTTCATGAGATGAGATGTGATGCGTTTCTTGGCACAGGCGGCAGCATGGAGAGCCCCACAGAGGCTTCAGCAGCTGACCACTCAGCTGACCCCTCCGCGCCCACCTTCTCCCAGGTGGTGTTCACGGACATCCCGCACTCCTACCCGCCCTCCACCCCCATCACCGCCCGCTACACCTTCAACTCCACCGTCCAGCCCAACTCCAGGGACTGGGTGGGCATTTTCAAGGTGGGAAAACTCATGAACTACATGCCTCAGGACACCAAACCGAAGTTTTGCTGACTTTCTTTTGGGTGCAGGTGGGGTGGAGCACAACCAAGGATTACCACACCTTTGTTTGGGTGGAGCCATGCCAAGAAGTGGGGGGGCAACAGGCAACCTCCAGGCAAGCTGTGTTTAAGGGTAAGCTTTGTTTTGAAAACTTTCGAAGCCTCATGTCCAAACAGTTTAAACACCATTAATCCCTCAATCTGATTTTTCTGGATTCCTGCTGAAAAATCTCAGAAGATGAGCTGGTAAATCTTAACATCTTGAATTTAGTGGATCTGAGTCTGGGATTTGAGTCTTTTTGACTGTAAGAATATTAATTTAAGGGACTTTTGGCACACAAAAGATTAAAGGCACATGGTTTGACTCAGATTTATCTTGGGAGTTTAAACTAATTTAAAGCACAGCACTTTGTATACGTGCTTAAAAACCAAAATTCCTTTTGGATTTTTAAATAAAAAAGATTGTTTACATGATTAAGATCAACTTAAATGTTAATTTTTAATTGAGTTTGGATTTTACTTGACTTTTAGTCAGTTATTGGATCGTTTGTACTTGGGATAATGATCATAATTAACAGATATAAGCGTTTAAAGTCATCTTTGTGTGGAGGTGCTGATAAAAGATTTTGCTCTCTGTGTTTTGGTCTGTCAGAGTACTATCTGCCCAGAGACGAGATCGAGTTCTACCAGTTCTGCTACGTAGACAGTACGGGGCAGGTGAGAGGAGCCAGCACTCCTTTCTGCTTCAGGAATCCGGCGGAGCAAAGCCTGGAGGGCAGCACAGAAGATGACCTCCTGGTTATTACAACACAGGTATCAAATGCTAATGACCCACCAGGGAAATTTCAGCTTCTGCATGCGCACTCGCATCCAAATCTGCTCCATATTGAATAACAACACAAGTTAGAAGACAAATTGTAGATTATTTTGGATCTGGAAGATATTTTAGCATTGAAAGTGCTAAGCTTTATAAAATAAACGGCAATAAAATATGAGCTATTCTGTTTGGCTCCATTTTTAATCTGTACCGAGGTTAATGTTTGACTTCAGGAGTTTTAACTTCTCCTGTTTGTCCTTGTTGTGAAAGCTGAGCCCTAAAAGAAGATAACCCCTGTTACTCAACGTTTATTTCTCTGTGTATCAGGAGCAAGTGGAGCAGGGTCTGCGCGAGAGGGCCGAGCTGCAGCGAGACCTGGACCAGACCTGGGCCGAGAACCAGGCCCTGAGGAGCTCTCTGCTGGAGGCCCAGAGGGAGTCGGAGGGCCTTAAGGTCAGTCCCCGGGACTCTCCCGTCCCCCCAGATTCTGAGGGCACACTAGGGGTGGGACGGTTCACAAAACCCACGGTTCGGTTCGATTCGCGGTTTCGTGGTCACGGTTTTCGGTTCGGTTCGGTTATATGTTGATTGTTAGGAAAATCTATTATGTCTTGTATAGTCAGGTTAAAACTGAAAGAAAAAAGTATTCTGACATTTGCAACATCATTGTGACAGTCTTAGGTTAAAGTAGGTGAGATTCTGGCATTGCAAGCGAGGAAACAGTGCTAATTCCAACATGTGCTTCCCTCTAAATGCAAAGTGGTCCATACAGCAGACCTAGAAACTGCTGTTGGCGGTCAGATTTTTATCGGCTACGCTGCCTCGCTTCTTCTTCTTGTTTGCTACTGGTGGTTGGCTTTGGGCGCAGTAGCGCCCCCTTCTGGTCTGGAGTGTAAACGCTTCCCTCTGAGAAAAAGGAGCAGCATGAACCCAACGCAACACACGCGAACCGAACCGAGACAGAACCCAACGGTTCGGACGGTTTTCAGAAACCGTCCCATCCCCTAGGGCACACTCTGCATGGAGAAACAGAAAGAGGTTTTGACCTTTGACCTGCCGTGTTTGGCCCCGTGCAGAAGCAGAGTGACCAGAGGGAGGCCGAGCAGCTCAGAAAGCTGGACCAGATCAGGCAGGACAGCGAAAACCTGAAGATCAAGTTGCAGCAGCAGACGAAGGAGAACGACGGCTTAAAGGTTTGTCTGGAGTAGGGACGTCCAGATCCAGCTTTTTTCTCTTCCGATCCTGGCCTATCAGAGCATGTATTAAAGTCTAAAGTTATTTATCTACTTACTTAGTCGTCAGACTCATGTTGAACAGGGATTTACTCTGATAACAACTTAATGGTTAGTACACAGACCTGTGGGTTAGGAGATGCTAATGCTAATGCTAATGCTAGTGTGGGATCGGACTTAAAAAAAATATGGATCTGGTGTCTGGATCTGGATTTTCTCCTGCCGGCCGATATGCATTTTTTTGCGAATATCCAAATATCGGATCGGGACCAGCCTAGTCTGGAGTCGATGTTTGAGATTTAAACCGGGGCTTTATGGCGTCGTGTGGTGTTTCCCGTCAGGAAGAGCTGGCGATCCAGAGGAGGAAGCAGATGGAGGCACAGCAACAGAGAAACACAGAGGATGAGAGGCAGACCCAGAGCTTGAATTCACACAGAAAAATCGAGGTGAGACGATTTTTATCCCGTTTATTTCTCCCACCGACCTCCTCCCGTGCTCACCTGTGTGCTCTGCTCTGGACCAGGAGAAATACGACCAGGCCGTGATAAAGATCAATCAGCTCAAAGAGGAGCGCGAGGAGCTCAGGAGCAAGATCAACGTTCAGAGTGAGGAGATCGCCAAGTGAGTTTTAGCTCGGTGTGGCAGCCGTTCGTGGTTCCCGCCGAATATTTTCTGTGCCGCTCACGCTCAGGACCTCTGTCTGTCCCTTTCAGGCTGAAGGCCAAAGGTCGGGAAGGGGAACGAGAGCTGTTGAAAACAAAGGATGGCATCCAGCTTCTGCAGGTAAATAATCCATCTGCCGTTATCCGGTTTCCACTGATGACTGGGGGACTATTTTCAGCAGCGGATGGACACATTTGTAAAGCTTAATTCACTTTTTAGCTTTAAAGGATCGTGTTTTTGGGTATATGTTTGAGGAATTTATAGTTTTATGCCACAAAATCATTTAAACTAGAAATAGTTTATCAGAGAAACTCAATTACATAAATTTTTCTGCTTCTACTGATCAAATAGACGGGAAAAAGCATAAATAGCCTTCAAACTAACGGCGAATGGAGTTGTTTATTTGCGAGAGTGCCTTGTCAGGGTGAATATCTTTGGTGTTTACGTTTGTTAGCAGCAGGATTTCACAGCTGAGGGGGAACAGGCCCAGCCTGGGGCTGATGTCACTCCAGGAATGAGGTCTTGGCAGCGTTAATGTTTTTAAACGCATCGCATAGAGTTCATGTGTCCGGACAGAGGGATAAAATTAGCCAGTGGATGAGTGTTAAGCCCCCAAATAGCAGGCGTCATAGGCACCAATTTTCCTCATTGTAATGGCGTCTATATCACAGCCATTTGATCTGAGAGGCTAAATTTACTTAAAGGGGACATATTATGCAAAACCAAGTTTTGAATAATTTGATTATGTACATTTGGGACTGTGGAGGGCCTATCAGCAGGAAAAGTGTGAAGAAAATGACTCAGTCATATTTTTGTGGGCTGCCTCAGTCTGAATCCAGGAGATAAATCAGGAGGTTTCAGGAGTGGGTAGTTTCTGACGTCATTAGCTCTAGCTCATTATAATATTCCAGCCTTTCACCTGCATGTTGCCCCCCCCCCTCAGCTTACTCCCCTATCTGTGGCAGACGTCGTGGTAGCGTGAGCGTTAGCATGGTAGCGTTAGCATGGTAGCGTGAGCATGGTAGTGTTAGCATGGTAGCGTTAGCGTGCCGACGTGGGCACACCTCCCTGAAGAAGTGGGTGGATTGCCTGTGTCTCATTTGCATTTAAAGAGACAGGCACTCCAAAGCGAGCGCTCTGAACGGGGCTGTTTTGGGTTAGGGTTAGGGTTAGGGTTAGGGTTAGGCAGGGGGACTGAACTGCTATTGGGCTTCATCCTTATGGGATTTTGACCAAAGCTTGTCACAGACATTACATTAGGACACCAGGGAACTAGCTTAACTTGTTGAAATAGGGTATAATATGTCTCCTTTAAGAGACAGACAACCAACGTGGACACCATGAATAGGAACATCTGTGAAAAAGCTGTGTTTTTAAGGGAGCTTAAGATCATTTTAGGCTGTTTGAAGCCTCCCTAAAACAGGCCTGATGGCTTTACCTGTGGCAGGTGGACCTCCAGAGCAGCGAGAAGGAGAAGGAGCGCCTGGGAGCTGAGCTGCAAAGGTTGAGAAGCCTCACGAGCAGCATGGAGGAAGTCAAGAGGGAGAAACAGGAGCTGCTGATGAGGCTTTCGCAAATCGACACGCCACACAGCTCTCTGCACGAAGACCTCCAGGTGGGGAGGCTTTAAAAATCCCTCAGAGAGGCAACCTAGGCTTCTGTCTGACGGAGTCTTCCTCATCCTCCTCCTCCTCCAGGTGCAGTGCCAGGAGCTCTCCAGGCAGCTGCAGAAGGCTCAGGCCAAGCTGGTGGCTGAAAAAGAGGACACGTATGGCATCAGGAGACGGGCTGAGCTGCTGGAAGCAGAGCTGGAGGAGTGCAAGGTCCGGCTGCAGGAAGTCTTAACTTTATACGAGATCGAGAAGCAGGCCAAAGATAAGCTCGAGGTAAAAATGTTAAATGTTAAAATCACCTTGGTTTAGCTCATGTTGGATAAAATGTTGTGTGGAGATGTTCGCTTTTACCAGGTGGGAGTTTTCCACGTGCAATCCTCATATTTTACAACTTGGTTTCAGGTTTTTGGAACCAAATTCCTTCATTTTTTACACAATAATGCACTCCGTACTTTGATTTCTTCTCATTTCTGATGTAATTTAAACATAAAGTGTGTCCCAGATCAGACTCACTGATGCAAAATCTACAAGAATCCAAAAGCCTGAATTCATCAGCAAATGCTACACTTTCACTCTTGAACTGGAATGTTTTTACGTGGCCCACATTAAGTTTGGATAAGTGAAAAAATCTTTGGTTTCCCTGTGGATGCAAAGACCAAAGAGGGAAAGAAAAGAAAGAGCTGCAAACAACAAGTTCAGAATAACTGCCTCCAGAAATAATTAGCTTTAGACTTGACCTCTGAGTCGAACCCATCTGGAAACATCTGGTGAAAACTGTAAGATCAGAAAAACCTTGGCAGGTTTATGCATCATTTTCGTAATTTTGTCTGTCAAAGATGGATCTGTTTCAGTTTTTTATTTAAAACCAGATGCAATCCTTTCACTCATCAACAAACAATGAAGAAAATTATTTACTTTTGTGTAAAATGTGATGGATAAACCCTTAATATTTGTATTAGAAACAAAAAAAAATCAATACTTCTCTTTTTTAAATGAGTTTTAAAATAAGGGGGATGTATTTGGTCCCTTAAATCCTGCTATTAAACACATTTCCCCTCATCCTTTTCCAGATGAAGCTAGCAGAGATGAACGACGTGATGGCAGATAATCAGATGACTTTTGAGGATAAAGACGACCAGATCATGCTTCTAAAGAAGGAAAAAGACGATCTGGGCAGAGAGAACCAGGTACCAAAACCTTCCTCCTCATGCTGTTCAGCAGCTTCCAGCTCCGAGCCGCTTTGGTGATCTCAGACTGCGTTTTCCCCCTCCAGGACCTCAGAGATCAGATGGACGGGCTGCGCAAAGCTTACGCCGGCGTGGAGTCAGAGGACGCCTCCTACACGCAGCCGGAGGTGACCCCCCCGCCCGGGGACTCCTCAGAGCACCTGTACCACAACATAGGTGAGCAGAGTAAAACAGGCTCCACTCTCTGTGGCTTTTTTGTGCCAGAAAATAGTCAATTTGAATTAAGTAACATGTAAAAAAATAGCCTAAAATGACCCAAAGCTAGCTTTGACACTGGTCTTACTTTAGGATTAAAGCCAAATTTAGTTGCCCGTTAATGAACTTTGCAGTTAAAGTCACTGCTCAGCATTAATATTTAGATTAAAACTTAGATTAAAATGTGAATTAATGTGATTATAGAGCTATTTGATTGTGGTCTAAATTTTCCTTACAGAAAACATTCGGGAAGACCAACAACAGCAGGAAGAGGCGGAGGAGGTAAGACAAGTTAATTCCTTCTGCAAAGATATTCTAAATGAAATTCTTCTGCCTTTATGCCCATTGAGGGAATGAGAGGTTAAAAAGTGACAAAAGATACAGAAAATACTAAATTTGTTAAAGGTTCATATATTAGGTTTTTTTGTTGTTGACACTTTAAATTCTGAGTCAAGAAAAATGTTTTTTTATATAAAATCTCCTTAACACAATGCTAAATCACATAATTAGATTTATAATTTACATATTTTAATCTAAATATATCTATTTTGTGAATATTCTGGAAATCAATATATAAAACCTGTTACACATTAAGACCCAAAAATTTTTTTTTATAAACTGCTTTAAAAAGATGCTTGGCTCATAAAGGAAAAAAACAAACAAAACCTAAATATTTCTATTGTAAAGAACTAAATGAAATGTGAAGTCTCTTTTGGATGTTTGACAAAATATAAATAACTAAATAAATGTAACTTTTTCAAGTTGGGCATCTTTTTACTATGAAGGAATATTATATTATAAAGGAATAGTTTATATAAAAGGTAATTTCTTGGCATTTATTAAGATGCAACAAGAGAGAAATCTCTCTTTAAAGGTTTCTTTATCCATTCAGTTTTCCTTAGAATATAAAGCTTAATAAATAAAGCTTTATTATTATTATTTATTTATTATGCATTATATTATTTATTATATACTGTATATATATATATATTTTTTTTAATTATATTTATTATAATTACTATGATTATTAAAGCATAAATGATGAGCATAAATGATAAAAAACAGCATCAGGGCTACCCAAAGACCTCCAGAGGATCTCCTTAATGGGGCAAACGGCTCCGGACACTCTGCCGTTCTCTCTTATTTGAACGCCTCCCTGTTCCCTTACCTTTTCCCTTACCTTCTGTAACATGGCGGCCCTCTGCCCCCCCCCCAGCGGGTGTGCCACCACTGCCAGGAGCGGTTTCCCGGCATCACACAGGCAGAGCTGGAGCAGCACCAGCAGAGCCACCGCGTCTGCCCCTTCTGCACCATGATCTGCGACCACATGGAGCAGGCCGTGTTCGAGGACCACGTCTACGGACACGAGCTGTGAGGGGGGGGGGGGGGGCCCCCTGGGGGGGGGCACCGATGTGTTTTTGCCCCCCAAAGCCCCAGTTAGAGTCGGGGGTGGGGAGCCGTTTTGTTTAACCCATTAAAGGATCAATTACTGTAAACTAATCGAGCAAATTAAGCTGTTTGAGAAACTAAATGACTAAACGGAAAACCGACATTTTTGTTTAATTCATTACTTAACCCACACTCTCTTCTTCTACTCACCTTTTACAGCAGATTCCTCCTATGAGGAATCACTTCTCTTACAGATAAGCTTTTTTTTTCTGTCTGGAAGTAGAAAAACCAGAGCGGTTACCTAAGCTGTTTAGCCTTTAGGAGATCTTCTGGATATTTGCTTTCATTATTTCTTTTAAAAATGATATTGCTTAAAAATCAAAACATTTCTTAAACAAAAAAAAAAACAGTTTTGAGAAATATTATCTTTCATTAAGTCCGACTGGGTTAAACAACACAGGTGTTTCTGAATTCCTCAGTTTTATAATCTGCTGGTAAAATATATTAAACTGACTTTTATGGCTGTTTTATTTAAACTTTGCTTTGAGGTGAAGTATCATATCTTGATCTAGTTTAGTTGCTAACTTCCACACTCATATTTCAAAATATCTTTTCTGTCTATTTTTTGAGAATATAAGATGAAATGCATATAAAATACCATATACATACCCTTTATGGCTAAGTGGGATGGTGTTGGTTCTCAATGAGTATTTGATTTGGCTTCAAATATAAAGACTATTTATCTGTGTTTACGTGCAGGATATGATGCCAAGTGCTCTGTATTTAAGAGACAAATATTACAAATAAGAAAAACACTGAATATCAATGAAGCTGTAATAAAAAATAACCTTATGTAACATGTTTTGACAAACATCTTAAAAATAAGTAGCTTTTAATGTATATATCAGGCAAAGCTTTGCAATTTAGTCTTAAAGAGGGGATTCTGGTGTCATTTAATGAGATGTACTGATCACATATGGAAGGTTCTGCACAATTAAAACTCATACAACAGATGTTGTAGACTTCTCCTTTAAAAGTTTGTCTTTATACATGGATTTCTTAGTAGTCACACGTTGTGTAGCTCGATTTCCCAGAAAAGGAGAGTCCATGAACGCATCATGGGCTGAAATGGAAGCCGTTGCATAGCTGTGAGGAGGGAAATCTGTCCCTCCTCGAGTCCAAAAGTGATCTCAGTGGGATTCCAGAAGCGGACAGTTTTTGTTTGTTTACAGACGCGTGTTCTCAGGGCGTCATCTGATTGGCTTCCTCCGGAGTGACATCACGGGACGTGAGCTCTGAAAATAGGGCCGGCAGCCAGTACTGCGGCTCCCCGGCCGCCTGGGAGTCCAGCCAAGCCAGGCCCTCTTTCAGCAGATGATCCTGCAAGTGTGGGACCCAGTGTGAGCACATGGTGACCTCTGAGGGCTTTTGTTTTGTTTACAACCTTAAATCGATTGGAAATAACACACATCAACCCAATCGAAGTGTAAAATCGGGGCTAAAAAGTACCTAAATTACTGTTAAACTCCACATGATTCCTTACAAACATTTTTTTTTATAATTCTTCCACCATTTCTGTTGCCAAGTGTGCCACCAGATAAATAAGAACTCACTTAAATGGTCTTAAAATAAACCGAAAACTTCACCTCACTGTTCCTAAAAGTAAATTCATTGTAGGTCCACTTCTGATGGGAGACAACAAGAATTTCCATTTCAGTTTTAGCTGAATACAAATCCTAGAAAAAAAGAAAATGTGTGCTTTTCGCCCGTTTTGTGTGTGTTGTTTAGTCAAATAAAACACAGAAATAATTCAAGATACTGAAAAATTACATTACTTTGAAAAAGAAAGGGACTCTTTTACAGCCTAAATAAAGTGTGACCTGTTATAAGACTAAAGTAGAGCTCTTTAGCTCCCTCTGCAGGTTGGGGATGTAACTCCACTGAGTCTTTACACCATATTTACCCCATACTAGGACCATTTTTACAGAATTTCCAGGGAATTGAGCTAAAATACGAATTAAAATTCAAGTTTTTTGTTCTGATGGAGCATAAAAATAAATATTTACAGATCAAACAGCTGGCAACTTTGCATCTACACCTCTTTCTTGTCTTTAAGGGTTGAGCAGCCTGTGGTAAAAAACCTTTTAGTGGATCATTCTTATTTCATCATCGTCCTCGTTAAGCGACCGGTGTGGTGTGAACAATTAAGGATTGTTTTGGAGTTAATTGCAGAACTATTCAGGACTTAAATGGGGGATGTTTGACAGCACTCACCAACACGTGGCCGGCCCGTTCCTTCTCCCACTTGAGGCTGTCCGTGATCTCGCTCACTGTGACGAATCCCTTTTTCTACAAAGAAAGCCCACAAATCAGACAGTCTCCTCAGAGGAGCTGAGCTACTATGGATCTGCATGTGGAAATGTTTTTTTATCTTACTTTCCACTTAATAATCCATGAAAAATGTTGCATTTTGAAAGGTGTCATTTTCCCGGTCTGGGTTCAGTGCATCACATTTAAAGATAAAGGGGGGGAGTTTAATCTTTAGCCTGTTAAACGTTCCTCATACCACCAGAAAACACACCACTATGGCTCCAAAGGCTGTTTTAAGTCAGGGCCTCATCTCGTTTTCCTCTTTGGCTCGTTGCCCTGCAGTTTCTATGCAACCATATCAGGTTAAATCAGTTTTTTTGTGCATGTTTCTATTCTCAAATCTCCTTTTATTTTCCTTTGTGCCTCTTTAACCCGAACCTCACAGGCATTTCTGTTTTTTCATTTGTTTTTAATTTCGTATATTTGATTTTTCTGACTTAGAAAGACACAAGAATTTCATTGTAACCATTTTAACTTGTACACATTGTGATGTACTCAGAGTTTGAGCTCTCTGACTGATGTCAAAGCGGTCAAACACAGAAAATGATGGAGCTCTCCTATGAAGACATTCAACTCCAACAAAATGCTCCTGTTACATTGGCATGAAACCAGTTAACATCCTCCAGGAAAACACTTGGTCCACAACAAGTCTGACATCCAGAAAGATTGTGCATTACATAAATCTTATGCCAAATTAAGTTCACAGGCCTGTTTGCCTTTGTGGGCATTTCTGATTTAACTTCAGGAGTTTAAGGGGCTTAACATACAAAAACCTGTAGTCTCACCTCGGCCAGCTGCAGAACCACCGTGTGATCCATGTTGAGCTCCGCCGGGACCGACTGGACCAGGTAGGATCCACCCACAGGGATCATGCCGAACCCGTTCCCCATCACCTTCAGCTTCTTTATGGCTCGGACCAAGTCGTCTCTGTGGGGAACACAAATCCAGACAGTTTGAAAATAACGCAAAGCTACATGTAGGCTCCCAATATTTGCAAAAAATGCGTATCGGCCGGCAGGGGAAAATGCAGATCCAGACTCCAGATGGATTTATTTTTTCTAAAGTCTGATCCCACATTAGCATTAGCATCTCCTAACCCACAAGTCTGTGTCCTAACCATTAAGTTGTTATCAGAGTAGATCCCTGTTCAACATGAGTCTGACAACTAAGTAAGTAGAAAATTACTTTAAATTTTAACACATGCTCTGATAGGCCGGGATCGGGATCGAATCGGAAGTGAAAAAAGCTGGATCGGGACGCCCATAAGAGCAGAAAAACTGCTGAACAGAAACAGGAACATTGAATTAAAGAGACTCACTGGCTCACATCCTGAGCGTACTTCCCCCGACCCTTCAGCACTCTCTGATGGAGCTCGTCCAGAGTAATCAACCCTGTAAGACAACACACACATTACAGGAAATGAGCCAATCTCGACAGCCATAATATCGTGTTAATAACCTGCTAGCCTCTAATTGGTACCAACAGGCAATGATTCTTTACATTTTCTGGATTAAACTGAACCCTAATCACAGAGTCCACTTTCAGGGATAAACAACAAACCTCCATTTCTGTGTTTCAGGGCGAGGCAAACTTCAATTATCTGCACGCCCAGCTCGTAGTAGAAGTCCCCAACGCCCAGCATCTCGGACCAAAACCCTTTCCCGGCTGTGGAGAAACACAGAGAGCTTTCAGTGTGCCACTCAAACCCCTCGACTCTGTTTACATTCGCTGATTTTAATCCAAACGTTTCTCACAGGCGAGCGGGTCGACGCCAATGGTGGCGCACATTTCCTGGAACTGGACCCTGAACTGCGGGTTCTTTCGGATCTCCTGCTTGTGCTTGCTGGCGAACTCCTCCAGGTTGGACTTGAATGTTTCCAGCTGCTTGGACATCTGGCGGACAAACGCAATCAGTTCAGTAAATAATCAGCTGCTCATGTCTGTGTTATAACTTTTTTTGTGTTAAGAAAAGCTGTCAAACACAACAATCTGCCCCAATAAGAAATTTAAACAAACCAAACGGCCGACGTTACGATCACAGAAACAAAGTAGACGATAATTATTGAATTTGAGGCAAAAATATTTCAAAAGATCCAACGGGATGGGAATAATTTTGCAAAAATAAAGGTGAAACTACTTTTATTAGGGAGAAATGTGCTTTTGGAGACACCGTTTGAAGAGCTCAACCATTGAAAGAGGACTTCTTTGTAAAAATGAGGCTCAAAAAAACTAAAAGATATTTAGGAATGAAAAATTAGCAGATCTTTTATTTGTTCTATTTTCACTATTTACAGATAAAGCTGCAAAACTGAATTTTATTGGGGTGAGAAAAATTACAAAAAATCAAATTAAGCATCTGCCCAATGAAACGTGTAGCTGGGTTAGGGACAGGCCATTTAAATAGACCAGTATCTTTAACCCCGACACAAACACAAAGGGACACAATCCTGAAAAAAACAGAAAAGATATTGTGAGGAGTTTATTTTGCCTAATTCACATTCCTTTAAATATCTCCACTTTTAGAAGAAATACCAGCAAATGATACAGATAGCAACATTTCTCATTTTTTAGTCAACATGTAACATAAATGTTGACATTATGAATAAATGCAGATATTCTAATCCCTCGTTCTCTAAATGTTACAGGACTTCTGGCTGTCATAAAGTTGTGATATTCTAAACCAGGCATTGTGGTTGTCTTTTTCCTGCTTTTTCTAACGTGTTTCAGGATGTTGAAGTTTAAAATAGTCACACATTATCAAAATCAGCTCTAATGTAAATTCATTTTCACTTCAAACTCAACTGAGACTTTAACAAGCAAAAGACAAAAAAATCACAAACTCACCTGGACAATCTGGTCCTCTGCAAGAACGGTTCCTCTTTCTTTATATTTGGCCTAAAAAAGAAAACAGCTTCAATACGACACCTTAACACAACGGGCTGCTTTTCCGGTGAAAAAGTACGTTTCAGACACACAAAATATTGTTGAAAAGTGTTCTTTATGTCCGACACAAAAACAGGAAATGAAGAAGTTAAACAGAAAAATACCTCTGCAAGCTTCTTTTTGGCAATAGCTCCGGCACCAACTCCTCTTCGATGCATCCTGCTGATGTTTGGCCCAAAATAAAAAACAAAAACAATCAAAACTACTAAAAGTATTAACACAGAAAAGGGTTGAATCTGTGCAATCGTAGCGCAAACAATTAGCTACACTTCACATTTAAACTAGCTACATTAGCTTGTTGAAGACGCTGTCGTTCACATAATCTTTAAAGTGTAACGCTGTATTTGTCGTTTGTTTTAAGATATACTGTGAAATGTAGGTAGTTTTTCGTCAAAAGGGTCAGTTTTCTGAACGACTTCAGTCATTTCGACGCGCACCCCGTTAAGTTTCCTCCATTTTTGACAACAGGGAAGTGAAACATTGTAACACCGTTTTATTTAGCGCCCCCTGGCGTCCTGGTGGGATGTAGTGCCTTATTTAATTCGGGATCGCCTCAAGTCATTTCTTAAAGAATTTTACAGCAACAATGGTCTATTTAATCGCATTTAAAAGCGTTTATCTTATCAAAAGACTTCAAATCAGTTAAAAAATGCAGTCTTAGTTTTCTCTGAGGTATAACATAAGCTCTTGTGGGCCTGATTGTGAAGTAAATGTGTCATATGGGGAGTCAGTGAAGTTTTGAAGTGCATCAGACCAGTTCATTTACAAATGTTTTGTATTTTACGGTTGAGGCAGGACTTGGAGGAATATTGATGACCCAACAAATGTATCCCACCTAGGGACTCTTAGAAGTTGGTCATCAACACTTCTCCACATCTTTTCTCTTTTCAAATCCAAATTTTAGGGCAGATGCTAATCTTGTGGATTGATACAAGCCTCATTTGAACCCAAAGATTAATAACATTTTGGGTCCTCACTCCAAGGATACTGATTATTGATCTTTGCTTGCTTAATGAGAGCCTGATATTGTGAGAAAATGTCATGGTTCTTTGGCTTTAAGTATTTGATTGAATAGTTTTAGCTCTGGTTGTGACTTTGTCCTTCGTTCTTTTTTGGTGTCTTATTTCATCTTTTTTTCATGTACATCTATTATGTTTTCAGTTTTACTCCTGTTACATGATACCTGATACTTTACAGCTTTCAAATAACATGTGATAAATGAAGGGTTGGGTTAGTTTTGTGGCTCTGAAATTATCTCAAAGGTCACCGTTGTAGCTCTTTGCATAAACTGAACAGAACATTTCCTTTACTAGACCACGTGCACAGTTGTTTCTGAAACTTTTCTCACAACGACATATTGACCGAGAAATGTATCAATTGAACATGTAATTTGGATGGATAATGATATAAAGTAGTGTCCCTTTTTTGATAGTGAGGAGTTCAGCTAAGTTCTGTGAAATTATAGATGAAATTGTAATGTTTTTTAAACATTTTTCTGTATTTCCCTGTTTGTTTTTGATAAACGTGTATTACTCAAAGACCGGTAAGGGTAGATTTTCAGGTTTGCCAGCGTCTCTTGAAAAGATAACATACTTGAGGTGATGGCATCATAATCTATAGAAAACTCTTCATGAGGAACAAATATCCAAAATATTTTGATAAAAGTTGTACACAGACTGGTAACTTCCAAACATACTTTTTTTTTTTTTTTTAATAACAACGTAATTAATTTACGATAGCAAACTAATACAACTGCGAAATGTACGATTAAAATTACATAATTTTTATTTCAAGACATTTTACTGTTGTGTCACGCATTACGTAGCAACAGGCCACGCCCACTGCGTTTGTTCTTCCTCCGTTGCATTTTTCAAAAATGCCGGGGGGAATATAGCACGTAAGGGAGATTATAAGAAAACGTACGGAATAGCTTCCCACTTAAGGTTATTTTCTTGTGAAAACACCAGCTAAAGTTGCCGATAACAACATCACAACACCGTATAATCACAAATTATGCAACGTAATGACAGTGCACATGCGCCGTCGCCCCCTACCGGCGTTCCTCAGGTGGACAACTCCAAAACACAAGAAATGGCCAGCCAACAAATTACGCATGCGCCCTCATCGGCGCTTTAAAACAATTCTTGAGGAGGGAACATGAAGGCGCTTGCGGGGTGACCTGAAATGCGATCGAGGTAGGCTTTAAACACACGATTTTAACCGGTTTAAAACGTGCACGTTGTAATTTAAAGCATTATAACGCGACTGGGACACCCGTCGTGCTCCTCGAGGTTAAACTAGCCGGCTAACGTTAGCCAGCTAGCTAGCTAGCTGTTATTGTTTTTCGTGATTTCGCGAGACCCAAAATGGAGGAGATGGTTCCTGCCAGTGTCCTACAAGCCACTCCCGAGTCCTTGTTGGAAGCCGTCATGCTAAAATGTCTGCCTGGGTGCAGCACTTACGAGTTAAATTCCTCTTCAACGGACGTGTTTGTTTACGAGTCCTTTTATCCGTTCTTACATGTTAAGCTAATGTAGCTTAGCTTGATTTTCAGGTGAGGGATGCACACTTTAATCTTATTTTTTTTCCAGGGGGTTGCTTGATTACATGCTAAAGGTGTTTGGTTCGGCACATAAAGACAGATATAGTGTGGTAAATGTCTGCTTTCCTCTGTGTTTTAATGCAGCTAAGCGCCTCAGCGCTGCAGGATGAGAGGTTGTCGTGCTCGTCATGACTCGGAGGTCCACGCTGTTTCCAAAAACAGGATTCAAGCGCTACGCTGACGACTTTGACAAATCGCTCTTTGGTCCCGTGAGCATCAAGAGGGAGTCCTGCCACTTTGTTATCGATTTTCAAGATTCACAGGGCTGCGAAACCCCGATCAAATCCAAAGGCTTAGACCAGACTTACATGACAAGCGAAGTTGCACTCGCAGCCAAAGTTGCAGAGATAGTTAAAAGAGACCAACCTGTGGGGGTATTGTCCCCTGTCAGACCAATGGGGGGTGAGGGAACCCCGGTGAAAGGTAAACCCCTCTCTGTTGACAGTATGGATAATCCTCAGATGGCTGTGAACAACAATCCAAAGGATGCAGGTGCCGACGACAGTGCTAAGGGGGTCGTTCCCGGGGTTCTGGGAACGGCGTCCATCGAGCTCTCCTCTGAGGGCAAGTGGAGAAACATCAGGAAAACCCCGGCCAATCCCCACACGCAGGCCAACTGCCTCCGCCAGATCCTCCTCCTCCAGCTGGACCTCATCGAGCAGCAGCAGCAGCAGCTCCAGTCCAAAGACAAAGAGATAGATGAGCTCAAAGCGGACAAGGAGACGGTAGGTCCGAATCCATTTGAACAGAAGTCGGTGCCGAGTTTTGTGTGTTGGTGGTTTCCAGGACGCAAACGGTTTTGTGGTGCTTACTTCATCATCGAATACCCCCCACACACACACTGAACCAACTAAAAAAAACAGACATACACACATATACACACACACACACACGCACGCTGCCGCTTTCTTCATGCCTGTTACTTGAATGACTGTATTGTAAATATTGCACATTACAATTGATCACTTTTTTATTTATTATGTCACATAATTTTCTTATTATATGTCTAATTTATCTAACTTATCTAATTTATGTCTATGTCTGCACGGGAGAGCAAGAAACGAAATTTCAATTCTTTGTATGATCGACGCATGTAAAAAAATTGACAATAAAGCCTACTTGACTTGACTTGACTTGACTTCTGCAGCTGCTGGCTCGCATTGAGCGTATGGAGCGGCGGCTCCAGCTCACGAGGAAAGATGTGCCCCGAGACAAGCGCCTGTTCCAGCCGCTGGAGCCCTGGACCCCGGACAAAGAGGACATGTGGGACCTGGACATGGAGGAGAGTCCACAACCGAACCAAGCCACTCCCCTCCCCTTCAGCCGGGGTGGCAAGGGTCAAAAAAGGTAGGAGAAACTAGGGTTGTCAAAAGTATCGATACTCAAAAAAGTATTGATACTAAAATGTTGTATCTGGATACGATACTCATCGCTGCCCCCCTTCTCTCAGATTTATTTATGTATTTTTTTACGTTGTTTATGGTCATTAACAAGACGTTAGCCTCGAACTGCTAGCTTCGGCTAATGGCTAATAATAACGTGCTACCATTAATCAAGTACATATCTAACTCCGCCCGCATCCAAGTCACCGATAGGGAGATCCCAGGCAAGAAAATAATTTAAAAATAGTGAAATTAATGTTTCGAACACTTAATTAAACTCTATCCATAATTTTATGTTAAAATAGTGGATGTTAAATAGGTTTGTAGAACAAGTCCAAACTATTTTGACCAAAAATATTTATTTCTCACAATTATGAAGGCTGTAGGGTCAGGGTCAGGGTCAGGGTTAGGGTTAGGGTTAGGGTTAGGGTCAGGGTTAGGGTCATTAATGTGGGCCACCAGTCACAATATCATCAGTAACAGGTAAGTTTGAAATGAAAGACACTAACCTGTCAAAATTCAGTTAAATTTTGGGGTCTTTGCTTTTATCCTTGTGGTATCGAAAATGGTATTGAGTCTCGAGTATTTTCCTGAGTATCGGTATCGAGTTGAAAATTTTAGTATCGTGACATCCCTAGGAGAAACCACACCAGATGCAGCATGCGGGTTAAGTAACGCACTATTCCACTCATCCTGTTGTTGTTTTTCCCTGCAGGAAGTCTTGCTTTGGGGACGCAAAAGTTCAGAAATCTCGGGGTAAAAGTGCAAAGCTCAGTCCCCAGAAGTCTGAGACGGATCCGGGCTCTCCCAACCAAAGAGAGCTGCGCAGTAAGGAAACCCCGGAGAAGACCGTCCCGCTGCGGTCGGGGCTAGAAAGGGACAGTTTGCTCCCGTGCAAAGAGGAGCCCGAGCTGAGCTGTGAGATGGAGGATCTGCCCTTCATGTCTACCACAGAGATGTATCTGTGTTGCTGGAACCAACCTCCTCTGTCCCCTCTGCGGGAGACTTCCCCTAAAAAGGAGGAAGAGGTGGCCAGTGAGTGGACTCCTCATGTAGTACATGATATGCTGATTGTTTGTAAGCCTAACCTATATCCCACCTTTAAACACTTAATCCATCAAATGGGATGAACACACCGTCTATAAATAATGTCCTTTCCTTTATTTTTTTATGCCTGCTAGTTCCCTCCTGGAGGGAAAACTATATCGAGCCCCTGGAGGAGGATTCTTCTTTTACGCCCCCCGAGGTGAGACATAATTAAAAGAAGCTTTCAGATTTGTCTCTTATTAAGTCACAAAGCATTTATAATCACTTTGCTGATGTCCTGAAGCCGCTGGACGACGGCGTGTTTCTGAAACGCCACGCCAAGCTGGAGCTGGACGAGAAGAGGAGGAAAAGGTACGAGGGACTCTTTTTGTGTTGGGTCTGACAGAAGCAGGGGACTGGATCAATTTGGAAAGAAAATCTGTTTAAATTGAGTCTTTATTCTGGCTATGAAAGTTCAGGAAATGCACAAACCGAGAGAATCGATTGGAAAAAGAAAAGGGATAAACCTGTACTCAATGTTTACCTTCAAATGAATCAGTGGGTGGTTATTTGGGATTAAAATGGTCTTTAAATGAATTTATCTGTGTGTTGAAACTGAAATAATGATGTTTTAGGATATAACTGAATGCAGTTTGTTCCCAAATGACAAAAAATTTACATCAAGTAAATCAAAATTTAAATCAAGTGTTTTTATTTCCCATCAATATACAGTGGGGGAAATAAGTATTTGACCCCTTGCTGATTTTGCAGGTTTGCCCACTTACAAAGAATGCTTATTTTTCCTCATCAGATGGTTATCAATTTTTATAAATTCAGATGATGTGATTTTCTGGAATTTTCTTTGGGATTCTGTCTTTCACTGTTAGAATGTACATATGATTAAAGTTATAGATCGTTGCATTCTTTGTAAGTGGGCAAACCTGCAAAATCAGCAAGGGGTCAAATACTTATTTCCCCCACTGTACAGTATATGATATTGATGGGAAATCCATTTTCTGGTTTAGCTTGGGGGGGAGAGAGGGAGTCCTAATGGGAGGCTCTGATTGGTTCCTGCTGACTTCCAGGTGGGACATCCAGCGAATCAGAGAGCAGCGCGTGTTCCAGCGCCTGCAGCAGCGCATGAACAGGAAGAAGGTGGTCCAGGAGACGGAGCCGGACCTGTCGTCCTTCTACCCGGACACCGAAGACGGTACGGCCGCAGGTCGCCACGGCAACCGGGAACCCGCTGACTCAGCAAAAACAGCAGCTCACGCCCAGTCTCTTTTCTTCCAGTTGAAACTATCGTGATCACCCCCTTCCTGCCTGTGGTTGCATTCGGCCGGCCGCTTCCCAAACTATCACAACAGTAAGTTTAAGGTTGCTTTCCTTTATTTAACAAAATTTATTGTTTCCTTTATCCTACAGTTTTTGTCGAAAATAACAAAAGCAGATTGTGTCTATTATAGGTTAATAGACATGATGCTCTTTTTTTTATTACACCTTTATTCAAGTGGAGCCAGTCAGGGTGTGGAGCGACCCATTGGACTCCATGTGTCTCTTTCTTGGCCTTTGCCTCCCTTAACGAGTGTTAATAAAATATAGGAGAGCTCAGACACACAAATCTTATAAAAAATGTTAAGGTTGAAATTTTATCCTCTGAAATTGACATCTGTCACATAAACTTTGTCAACTGCCAATAAATGACGTCACAACTCCACAAGTCGGCTCCATAAACTGGAATTTGTCACAGTTACATAAAATATATCTATATATATAATATATATTTTATTAAAAACGTGGAAAAGTTGTGATTAAATTTGATTGAAACACATGTAATTTTTTTTCAAAATGACATTTTGTTAAAGACTCAAAGAAAGACTTCAGAAAAAAGTTAGACAATATTTTTTATTTTTTATTCTTGGCTTCATGGGGGAAAAAAAAAAATTCTCTATAAAATGTGGCTTTTTAGAACTATTTAACCTAGTGATTTGAATAATGTGTATATTTCAGCCCATTTTGTTTGAAAGGTTTTTCACATTCCGACATGTAAAAAACACGAACCTGTGATCTGGTTTTGGGTTTCAAGCTCTGACTGTAACAGACCTAAATGGAGGATTTAAAACAAAGCCTGTTTTTTGCCGCTGAGCTGGATCAAAACTGCGTTTTCTCCCTTCCAGGAACTTCGAGCTGCCTTGGCTGGACGAACGGAGCCGGTGCCGCATCGAAGTGCCCAAAAAGCACACGCCCCACCGGACCTGCCGGAAGTGAAGTCGCCAAACCCCAAACGCCCGTCTGTAGGTTGGGGGTTCGACTCCAGCTGCCACACACAGAAAAACGATGAGCCACGGGCGACTCGGTTTCACCCAAACTCGTTTTCTCGCCCGAAAAGCGGAGCTCCTTTAGCTTTTCCTCAGCTGTGACGTGGCCATGCTCATTCTTCTCGCCTAAGTGGTTTAAAAAAAGAAAAGTAAATCCAACAGTTATCGTGACGTGTATCGCTTCTCTCGCCGTTCGCACACCAACTCGGTAAGGTTTTATCAATGTCGTGTGATTATTGGGAGTTTTGAGACCGCATGATTTACAAATATTTAAAACCATCTTCAGCCCATCGGATGTAAAGCAGCAGCTAACTCTGTTCTCGGACGGTTTCCGTCTCTGGAAACTAAAAGTGTTCGTTTTGGCTCCGGATCCAGAGGTTCTGTTCCTGTTTCGGTTCTTTCGGTTGACTTCGGTGTGAGTTGCATGGACTCTTGTTTACCCGACGGCAGCATGGCTCGACCCCGGAACGGAGGATGATCTGAGCTTAACTTTGAGCTTAAAATAAAATAAAAAAAACACAATGTTCTTTTAAAAAAAAAAAAAAAGCATGACTCTGTTGGGCGAGGCCTGGACGACCTCCTCATGAAGTGGGTTTTCGTGTTTGCAATCTTAACAGCATCCAGTGAATATTAGTGCTTACGGGAGCCATTTTAGGTGACTAATCCGCTTTCTCTGTAGTCGTAGCGGCGTTTGCAGGTGTGCTCTTTAACGCGTCTCTAAATCCGGGTTCCAGTGATCCACTTCTGGAGGCGTTTCCTCCTCGCCGCTTTCGCTCGACCTGTTCTTATTGACCTGTACATAGCTCTCAGAAACAAATGTACATAAAACATGGCTGTTATTTTTTTATTATTTAATGTTAAAAGCGTTCGGTTCATTCAGCATCGTTCTATGATTGTATGTCGACCAATTGACAGTTTTGAAAGTTGATTTTTTTTTTTTTTTTTAAATAAAATGTCTATGACATGGAATTGTTTCTATGTTTGTCTTTTAATTCGGGTTCTTTATTTATGGAGAATATTTGGACGTTTGCAAGCTTCGAGAGCAGAAACTCTTCAATTTTGGGTAATCTGCATCCAAAGGGGAGAGACAATGAAAGCTCTAATTATCTAATTAATAATAAAGCTCAGTCTCCTCTTCAGTGTTTTTCCTGTGAAAACAGATTCACTAAAAATCTTTAATATTGTTTGGATGACGCTGGAAAGATGGACTTTTTATTTGTCCGCTGGTTTATGTTTCAGACGTCTAAATCTCTAATTATAATAGAAACTGAAAGCTCTGACTGATGTTTTTGTGAAAACTAAAAGTAGAAAAGAGGGCCACACAATGCAGAATTATTTGGTTGGATAAATACTTTAGAGTTTAGTTGTTTTTTAGGCATTCAGCCCTAATCTCCTCCAGTCTTTATATAACAGGAGTTTTCGGTGCTCTGCTGTAATCGCATTAAATGAAGTATAATCTCCTGTTTACGGGGGTTGTTTGGTTTTGATATGACAGCGTCCCAGGCTCAAAGATCTGCTTCCCCATTCTGCTTTTACCTGTTTCGTGGTCTCCTTGTCTTTAATTTTGACACAAAATTAGTCAAATATGACAAAGTTCGAATTTTTTCTGCTGTTTGACTCAGTCTGCCTGATTCCAAAAACGCTGTTTTCCTGCTGCTGAGCCCGCCTGGATGTTCTGGTTTTGTCCTCCTAAAGCATCTCTAATGGATTTATATCTCCTTCAGTTGCACTGAGACCTCCTTTGAACATATCAGGCCACAAAAACAGCTTAAAAGTCTGCTTTACTAAAGGCGAAACGACAAAAAATGGAAAGTCGGAATAGTTTATGAATCAGGTCCTATAAATAATTTTAACATGAAAGAAAACAGATGAACACCTAGAAGTTAAAACTGGATCTGTACCTAGTTAATAATGTATATTAAACATTGAGGTTGTTTTACAAATCAAACCTGAATGACAGAAAGAAGACAAGTCACACAGACGGTTATTTAAACCTGGAAAAAAAGTTTATTGAGTAAAGAAAAGAAAACAAAGTTGAGTTTTTAAAAATAAACGCCACCAACTGCTTATTAAACATTTTGGTGATTTCAGAAAAAAACTAAAACGCCTCGAGAGGAGATGCAGGAGTGTGTTTGTGCTGCTTCAGAAGCAGCCGGACACGTTTTTCTCAAAGAAATATCCACCGTCTTCTGCTCACCAACAGAACAAAAGACCATCTCAGCTCATCACGTTACAAACACCAAACCTGCCTCATGTATAAAATGCGCTGATATCCCTAAATGTCAATATATAAAATCTCGTTTTCTGTAATACCACCAGCTTTGTTTTGGTTTCCTTTAAATATGACGTGATTAGTGTTAGCTGTGAAAACGTGCTTGGAGCTGTAAGTATTTACACAGATGAAGAAATAAAGAAATAAACTGCGTAAATCTGTGTCATTTGGCCTGAAAGGAGACGATGATTCGCTAGACCTAAGGAGGACAAAGACCCTTGTAATATTTTTTCTTGTTTTTGCAAAAAGATACACGACACAGAGACAAACTCAAACTGAAAACACCTCAAACAGAAAGCCGGACGCCTTTTATGAGGCCCCCGGCCTCCTGAAGCCGACCGCTCGGCTCCGCCCCCCCGAGGGTCTGAACAGAGACCCGCTGATGGTTTTCTGCCTCAGTCCCGTCTCAGGTTGTTGAGTCTCTCCTCCAGGTCGGCGTCGGCGTCGGCCAGAGCGGCCTGGGGCTCCGCCTTCTTCCCCCCGGCCACCGACAGGCTGCCCCCGGTGCTGGGAAGATCTGGAACCAGCACAGAGACGCCCAGTCAGATTCCCAAAACCTCCCCCAGAGACTTCGATTCAATTCAATTTTATTTATTAAAGCGCCACATCACAACAACAGTCGTCTCACAGCGCTTTCCAAACAGAGCAGGTCAGACCCTACTCCGAAGTTAACTCATTGGCTGCCAAAGACGTCTATAGACGTCTTTGATGTTTTTCAACGAGAGTGGCTGGGGGACGATCTGCTAAAGCTTGTCCGTAAATATCAGGCTTCTAGACAGAGTATGTACTAACAAATTGACCCTCTAGGTGGCAGTGCCACTTTTGATGGGAGATGAGCATAGACTGTAGGCACATAAGAAAAAGGTAACGGTTCACTATGAGAGAACATGTCGCCGGTGAGACACAAGTCGAGGAAGAACGGAATAAGGTAGAAACAAAAAATGTTTCCTGATGAAAGAAGAGAGTCTACTCTTTCTTTTGGTGTGTTCGGTGTTTACATAGTCATAGCACAAACTATTCTGTGACTCTTGAAAAATCTGTCAAAATGCTCAAAAAACTCTGGCAGTATGGGACTCTCTGTTCTGAAAATGGCTGCCAGTCAATGAGTTAATTACAGAAACCCAACAATTCCCACCATGAGCAAGCACTAGGCGACACAGGCAAGGAAAAACTTCCTTTTAACAGGCAGAAACCCGGAGCAGAACCATGGCTCAGGGTGGGCGGCCATCTGCCTCGGCCGGTTGGGGGTGAGAGAGAGAGAGGGCAAGAGAGAGAGAGACAGAAGAAAATAAAATAAAAAGGGTTTTCTTACTCGACAGCTCGTCGGACAGATTGAGGCCCAGCTCGTCCAGAACTTGGGACACGATGGCGTCGCTGCAGGTGAAGCAAACAAAGGTTTAAAAAAGAAACTCGGACCAAATGCAAATCGTCCCGATTCGCTCTGAACCGGCCTCGTCCACGGACCAGAATCAGATGGGTTTAAAACCAGAGGCCGGCACTTTTTACTCACTTTAGTGAAAGTAAGTCATAGGTGGAAAAGCAAAAAGATTAAAAATGATATTTATGAAAAAGACGCGGCTGTGTTTGTCTTAATATTTCAAATTGCGATATTTTTCTTATTCGTTTCTACTATTTTTTTTAAATTCAGGGTACATCTGCTTTGTATTTTCTTCCCTTTTTAACCAATTTATTCATTTTACTTGAGACTATCATCACTTGTATTAAATTACTCTTTTTATTTTCTCAGATTTTGTACTTCTTGGTTGAACATACTGAAGTTATGTGTCATGAAACATATTCAATTAAAATGAAGCCATTTGACTTATTCAGAAGCTGAAAAAAAGAGGAGATATGACTCCTTTTTAGTGTAATACAAAACTCATTTTACTCGAGAATATTATCACTTGTATTAAATGAATCTTTCTATTTTCTCAGATTTTGTACTTCTTTGTAGAACATACTAAAGTTATGTGTCATGAAACATCATATTCAGTTAAAATGAAGCCATTTGACTTTTTCAGAAGCTGAAAAAAAAAAGATATGACCTCTTTTTAGTGGAACAACTCTGGTTTTATCTCTCTGGGGCACAGCCTTCGCTTTTAAGCCTTCATACGACAAAGATTATTTCATAGGTTGAGGCAAATGTAAAATAAGATGAGAACTGTTGGTGCTTAAAGATGAAACGTGGGGGCCCTTACCTCTCCTCCTCGTCATCCTCGTCGCCCATGGCGTCGTCTATGGCGTCATTCATCATCTCCTCTTTCATGTCCATGATTTCACTCTGCCGCTCAAAGTCCATCATGATCTTCTGGATCTGGGGCAGCTTCAGCTGTGGGAGGAGAAAAGATAGCAGCTGGGTGTGTGTGGGCACCGGGCCGAGCCTCTCAGGGGAAAAACCGGTCCGGACCTGTCTGTTCATGGTGGCCATGGCTTTGGTGACTCCCTTCATGGCCTGCGCCATGCTGTTGTTGGACTTGAGCGTTTGTATCTTCAGGCTGACGGCCTGAATGTTGGCCTTCATCATGATGAACTTCTTCACGTAGCGCCGCGTGCGGACCAGGTCCTTCGCCATGATCTTCACTGCATCCTGTGGCGGGAAAACACCGGTCAGAGTTCTTTCTCTCAAAGAGCGAATCACCACCCGGAGAGGCGGATTCCTCCACCTCACCATTTGTCCCTGTTTGGCCATTTTCTTGATGTCGGCGATGATCTTCTTCTCCTGCTGCTCCAGCTTCATCCGCTCTCGGTCCAGCTCTCTCATGGCCCGGTTCAGCGCCCTCTGATTCTGCCTCAGCATCTCCTCCGGAGTCTTCCTCTTCCCAAACAGGAACTCCATCTGATCACAAAAGCAGAATGTTAAAAAAAACAACACTCAATTTACTCAAAGAGAATAAACATAATCAGAAAACACTAAAAAAAAACAACACTCAATATACTCAAAGAGAATAAATATCATCAGAAAACACTAAAAGCACAATAGAGTCTGGGTGGATTGTCATGAATACACTCCAATAATTTCTGATATTACTAAATACAGAATATTTGAGCCACTAAATATCAACCATTGGTCTGAAAAAAACAAGACAACCATCTTCCTGTACAATAACAGGCATTCATTTAAATAATGATAGTACACATTACTAAATTAAACCAACCAATATATTCTCTGTTCTAATAACAGGGCAGATCTAATTAAAACACATTAACACATTTGATTGACAGTCAACTAAGATAATTGGTGTAAAATTGGTCATCAAAACAGAGCATTCATGAGTTTATTTGGGTATAAAAGGGGATTCTCTGTGTTTTAAAGATGATCATCTCCGTTCTTGCCTCTTTTCACCATAAATAATCAGCACATCTACCCTGAAAACCTCCCAACAAAGAGATTGCTGAGTTATAACTTTAAATAATATATCGAGACAGCCTTAACAGTTTAGTTTTGCTCGTGTTTATTATCAGTTAATTACTTCAACTTCCACGTTTCGAAGATTTCCTTTGTCATACATCTTAGTGAACATACTATAGTACAGTTTTTTAAATTTGAAGAGACACTCTTTGATTTAAGAGTGTTCTCTTAAAAGTAAGAAGTAAGAAGCAACAGCTCAAAGAAATAGTGACCAGTGACCAACTGGAATTGTCTTTAGTTTAGTGTTCAATCCTTGTTGCATTGGAAAATGATAAAGATTATGCATTTTTCTTCCTAAAATATAGCCAACATGGTTAGTCATATATCAGAATGTTCCATTACATCGCTGTCAAAAGCAGGTCGATGAGCAGTTTTGAAAAAAAAAGGGGATTTCACATTTGAACTTTCCTGTCAATCAAAAACTGAAGTCCACAGTAAACCAGTTTAAACGTACAGGAATGACAACTCAACGTGATTTCGGTCGTTTTAGCCCTGTCATGTAGGATATTGTTCCATGAGCTACATTATTCGGCGATTAGTTTGGTGACCAGAGGCCTGAAGTCTTTTTTCTGCCGTGTTTAGTTCAGCTGTCGTTCCCTCAAACCCGTCTCCTCCATAACGGCTGAAGGCTACACTCACCGTAAACCAGAGCCAAGGGTGTAAAGACAAAGATTCAAAAGAAAAAGGGCACTTTGGTCGTCCTCCGACTTCAACTCGACTCAAATTTAAACGATTATTTGTTTTCTTTCCAACGCTTCCGTGTTGCAGTAATTGCACTTCCGGGAAATGATCTAATGATGACGTCACGCAGGCGGTGCGTCAATTTGCGTAAACCGGAAGAACAAGAATTCTCAAAACAAAAGACTCCATTTTAGCCAAGTTAAAGGTCCCAGCTCAGAAGTATCCACGAGCTTACATTAAATATTTTCAACTGCTGTACAAATACAATATGAGAACTAAAATCACAGGTTAAAAAAATATTTAGCAATATTTTTGTTTAAATCGTATATTAACTCAATCACTTAATTTACAGTTTACATGTGTTTTATTAATGAACTATTATCGTGGTATGTTTGCTATTAGCAACATCTAAAAGTGACTTGATAATGACATGAATCTAAATGTCTAATTTAATAGAAATGTCTTAGTACTAAAGACGTCCTTTGTTGGAGGGTGAACATCATTGATTGCCTTGAAGTCAATTTCTCCTTACACTGAGGTACTCCTCATCATTTGTTCTGACCAGTATTTAATAGAGTTTTTTGGGGTTTTAAAGATTTTATCAGAACTATTTCTGAGGCTAAGGGCAAATATTTGATTTCATCTTCCAGTTTCAACTTGCACCTTTCTTTGTGAATTTAGAGTTTTATTTTTGTGGGGAAAACGTCTTTATATCCGGTTAAAATGTCTCTCGCTTAACGTGACTCACACTGCACATGTGCGCAGGTCACACAACGACACGAACGAATGACAGACAACATAAACGTGCACCGTGGCCAAAGAAAACAGTTGGAACCCAAATAATTTTCTTCAATTGATCTGTGGATGAATGGATTTCCCGGGCAGCTGAGGCAGGTCACTTTGAGACAGACTTAATTTTATTTGGACACGTTTGCAACTATTTGAACATGTTGGTGTCCAGTTGTGTTAATCAGCTGAAGCTGCTTCTTGGCTGGAAAAGAAAACTGTCCCTGTCAATAGTGCATTCCCAAGTAGCCGCGTACCGTTTGACCGCCACCACCCAGTGCCCGGAGGACAAAAGAATCAACCTCAAAACGAAGAGACACTTCCGAGGGCCAAATACTTCCAACGTTCAGGACAAGTCTGCGGGGTCTGGAGGAAGCCAGGTCCGTGGGAGATCCGCTCAGGATGAGGCCTTAAAAAAAGAGGCCGCCCTGTTCCAGGGGAGGAATCGGGGCCGGCCAGACGACTTCAGAGTGTCTTCTGAACTCAGGAAACTGTGTCTGGAAGACTTCCCCGCTGACAGGGAGAGGGAGGGGAGGCAGAAGCCGGCGCTGGACTCCAGAGCAGAAACCGACGAGATTGTTTTTGGCGTGGCTCCCTGCCTCTTGGCTCTCACTCAAGGTAGAAGGAAGGCCTGTAAACTGTTTGTCAGAGATGGTGAGACCTCCGCGAGGGCCTCCGTGTTAAAGGTCTGCGAGGAGGCCCATAGGCGAGGACTCCAAATCAAGAGGGTCAGCAAAAGAGATCTGGACAAGATGTCCGGCGGGGGGGTTCACCAAGGAGTGTGTCTGCAGGCGAGTCCTCTCGGATACGTATCCGAGGACCCTAAACCGAGCGGAAAAGGAGGCAGACCCCCACTCTGGCTCGTCCTGGACAGAATCCAGGACCCGATGAACCTGGGCGCCATCTTGCGCTCCGCTTATTTCCTCGGCGTGGACGCGGTGGCCAGCAGCCTCCGCCACAGCTGCCCCCTTTCTCCCGTGGTCAGCAAGGCCAGTTCGGGCGCCATGGAGGTCCTGGGCGTGCACGGCTACGAGGACCTGGAGGGGATGCTGCGGCTGAAGCTGGATCAGGGATGGCAGGTGGTGGGAACAGTGGCGGGCGACGCCCACGTCCCCGTGACCCGCTGCTCAGACTTCCAACTGACCGGACCCACCCTGCTGCTGATGGGGGGGGAGGCCGGGGGGCTGTCCGGGGATCTGCTGCCCCTCTGCCAAACGCTGCTCACCATCCCGGCGGGAAGGGAGCTGTTCCCCGGAATCGAGTCCCTGAACGTCTCGGTGGCCACCGGCATCCTCCTCCACGCCCTGCTGGCCTCCAGGGGGCCGCACGCACGATGACCACAACTACACAAAGGGACCACTAACCAGACCCAAACCAGACCCAAACCAGACACAAACCAGACCCAAACCAGACCCAAACCAGACCCAAACCAGACACAAACCAGACACAAACCAGACCCAAACCAGACCCAAACCAGACCCAAACCAGACCCAAACCAGGCGATTCTCCTCCATGAAAACGCACATGTGGTGCAGCCGACTGTTAACACACATAAATGCACATTTGGAGCTTTCTTGTGTGTGTGTGTGTGTGTGTGTGTAGCACCACCAGTTTAATAAATAGTCTCTGTGTATTTTTGGGGCACATATCCATTATTTCTAAAGCCCCCTCCGAAGTTTAGAGGTGACTTATCGATAAAACTCTTTCTTTGTGACACAGAAAGAATAAAGAATACTCAGAATTGTTCTTATGTCAATAGTTATAATGTAAGTATAACTGAAAAATAAACAGTTCTATGTAAAAAATCTTGATCTTCCCATTTGTTCATGGATTTAAATTATATGTGTGTTTAAATTGTCTCTCCAAGTTGCCAGACTTGATTGTAACTTTGAACTGGCCTGAGCAATAGTTCTCTTGGCTTTCTGAAAGTCTTTTCTTTGGCCATTTTCTCTTTTTTTTAAATGAATGATGAATCCTTGTTGTTGTTTTAAGGCATTTGTGTTTTTTCTTTAGCAATACACTTTACTCTGAACCATCCAGACAGAAAAAAAGCCCAAAACTTAAGGGATGAGCCAGCGTTGTGTCCACACACAACAAAAGCAGCAGTTTAAAGTGGATCTTTTGGCTCTTTTTTAGCAGCAGCCTGTCACAAAGACACATAATTTGTTTAATTTCTTTAGCTGATATGTGAAAAAGGCCAAAGAAATCCCAGTCTGACAGACAGGAAACAGGATTTCTGAGGATTCCCAAAGAGCTGCTGGCTGGAAACTGGGCAGATCTCAGCTGGTGAGCAGAGTC